TTGAGGATTTTTTGAGTTTTGTAGATTGATAGAGATAAAAATTAGATAATTTGTTATTTTTCTTGTTGTAAATGTGTGTAAGAAATTTAAGATTAATCAAATAATTAGATTTAAGCATATGAAGATTTTTATAGGTTATGGTCTTAGAAATTTGAGATTTATTGTAAGTGAGTGATTCTAAGATCTAGTAATATTTGTTAGTTGCATTAAAGCAAAATTTAGTAGAAGAAATCAAGACTTAAATATGTAGAGACAACTCAATTTTTTAGAGCAATTGAACGGTTTAATAAGGAGAAATTGGTGTTGAAAGAACAACATTTAAATTATAAAAGGAAGGTAGCTATTAATTAAGAAGTTTTGGAAGCTTTTCTTATAATTAATAAGTCCAATTCATCTCAAATTTTGTGCATTTGTTAATTGCTTGTTGATTGAAGTTTGGATGAAATTTTAATTAAGATCTACATTTCAATTATTATTTATTGAATTTTCAAATAGTATTTGATTAAAATTTACTTGAGATTTTCTTCTAATTATTTTAGATTTAGGATTTTATTAGAAATAAGTCTAGAAATAGGATTTAGGATTTTCTTAGAATTTTATTGGAATTTATTTAGAATATTATTAGGATTTATTTAGGATTTAATTGGATTTGTTTAAAATTTGATAGAATTTATTAGGATTTAGGATTTTATTGGAGTATAATTTAGTATTAGGATTTGGCCTAGGACTAAGGTTTAGGATTTACTTAAAATTTGATTAAGATTTTTTAAAATTTGATTAAGATTTGTTTAAGATTTGATAAGATTTTATTAAGATTTAGGATTTCATTGGGATTTAGTCTAAGACTAGTATTTAGGATTTGATTAGGATTGATTTAAAGTGAGGATTTAGGATTTGCTAAAGATTTTCTTTAAATTTTATTGAGATTTGGCTAAGATTACCTTTGAATTCATATCAAAATTGATTGATAAGGACCTTTTCATTTTAAACCATATTACAAGCAAGGTTTTGGAATCCAATAGCATATATGGTAGTTGAATGTGATCTTTGTTATAAAGATATAAGTTTGGTCTCTACTACCCTTTATTAATTACTTTTTCTACATGTAGCTATGAAGACTTTGAAGAATAAATTTAAATCATAAAGTAGTCATAAATCCTTTTTCATCAAAGGTGCAAACTATGAGAAAATACTCCTAAAGAGAAGTATACCTATGAATCCAACTTAAATAAATCTACTAAGATATTAAGAAGGGTGCAACCTTAAATAGAATTTTAATTGTTTTAAGAATCTTTAAAACTTTGATCTTCTTCCATTTAACTTCTTTGGTATACTTATCCTTGCCTCTCTAATACTTATAGTAGTAAGACTTTATGGATTTAGCTATGAACTTGATCTACATGTTTCTTTCAATTGTATAATTTCTTGGAATAGACTTTGAATAAATTAAAATATTTCTTATCTTTTTGATAATATACATGTTGTACCACTTTTTTAGTCCATTTTGGTACAAAAAATATGTTGTCTTATTTTTTTTATATTCTTACTACCTTCCAAATATATATTAAATTATTTTATATTTATTCTTTACCATTATTTATTCTTAATTTTTTGATCTTTGAATCTATGAAATTTTTCACAATTGATTTGAATATTTAAAATTTAATTAAGATTTGATTCTTTCTAGCTATAAAATTGATTCAAATTTTATAAAAAAATTTATCTATGATTGTAATAAAATAATATTATTTATTTAAATATTTATTTGGTAGTTTTCTATACTCATCTAAATGGATTAATTCTGAAATCTCAATATTATGGTTGATTTCAACATTCAAAAAAATTCCCAATATTTCTTTTTTAATAGAAAAAATTGTAATGTTTTCACTTGTTACTAATAGTATGTTAGATATGATCATGTTTAATTGATTGAATTAAACAAGATATCAAAAATTCAAGTACCTTATATAAAAATACTATAAATATTCAATAAATAATATATTGTACAACTTCTTCATTAAAGATAGATTAGTAGATAGATTTTGAAAGTTATGAAATGTGATATTTATTTCTAATTTAAATTACTCTTATCTTTAGATTTTTTAATATTATTAAATTCATATAAAAATTCTCACCTATAAATTAAAAAAAATAAAGGCCATTAGTTGAATTTTATTTTTATTTAATAATTATTTTGCAAGGCTTTTGTTATATCATAACTACATACTTGGTTTCTTTAAATAATACTAAATATCTAATTTTGGTCATATGCTCTATTGAAAGAAGATTTTTGTTTAAGCTTGGTACATAATAAATAATTTTTTTTCTACCAAAAAATAATGGCACATTAATATTTTTTATCCATAAATAATATAATTGGTGATTTTAGCCAATATTACAAATTTCAATTGAGAACTAGGCTTTTAATTTATAAATACTTGGGTATTTCTAAAAAAATAATATTATGCATTCAAATCAATAATCTAATTTCTATTATCTTTTATTTCACTAGTAATACCTATAATATTTTTTAAAATAGTTTTTTTAAAAAATTTAATATTTTTTCTTCTATTAGTGCTCTAATGATCTATCTGAAATATTTTTATACTATTGAGCTAGATACAAAATAATATCATGCAATATGACTTGATTTATTGTAACAAAAATAAAAAAAAAATTATCTTGAATTTGTCATTTTAATTCTTTGTTGGCTTAAATATCTAATTAACATGCTATTTTTTGGTATATCTCATCTAATTATTTTTAATACAAAATTATAAAATCACATTTCTAAATCTAATGTTAATTTTTTCTTTAGTAGAATTTTCATGTTGCAACTTGAAATTCATTTTCAAAGTAAAGTTATGCCTCTAGACTGGCATTTAAGCTTTATTCAATGTTGTCCTAACAAATATCTCAAAATATAGAAATAACATGGTGTAAATCTTTAATATTTGTTGTGTCATTATCAATGATTACTCTAACTTTTTGAGGTAATTGAAGTGCTTTGTAATTGTCTACATGAATATTGCTATATCCATATCTTTTGTCATCCATAGCATTGCCTAAATATTATATAATACCATTGTATCAGCAATAGTCCAAGTGTTTTATTTTATTTGCAAAAATTTCTAAATAGCTACAAGTTCTTTAATATTTCTAATGAAAGGTAGTTGTAACAAGATATAGATAAGATATTTATATTGTTGATACATAGAGATAGGTAGTTGGAACTATGGTTGGGAAGTTTTTGGAAGTTTCTAGAAGTTTCTAGAATTGAAGTTAGGTTGGTGGTCTATGTAAGATCTACCATGGAACATTCTAAAAAGGACTTAGAACAGTTATTTAGGTAGGGCCTATTATTAAAAACATTCTAGAAAGTTCAAAGATGGTTGGACAAAGTATAAATAGGACTAACCAGAGCCATTTGGATATCCAGTCAAGTATGGCTTTGGTATCTTTTTTTAGTAAAAAATGATTTTATACTTTTTTATTCAATTCTATTTTATTCTCTTTTGCTCTGTGTTGCCTTTTATATTCCATTCTATTTAGTTCTATTCAATTTTGTTCTAATTTATGCTCTCCTATATTGTGATGAGATTTATATTACTGAAGATTAGAAGAATCTTAGATCTTAGAAATAATCTACTGTCATTTCAATAGTACCTTAGATAACATAATTAATAAATTATTAAATCAACCTATGCATTTATTAAATCAATCCATCCATCATCATAAATTTGCACATAAATTCTTGAGTTCATCTTTCAATTAATTACAAATTCAATAGTGGAGAATTTTTTGACTATGGTTAAGATGACTGACTTGATTTTAGAAATGCTTAAATCAATTTAACAATTTTTTATAATTAAGTTAACAATGCCAATCACCTTAAACTTACTTCTTTTTTCGAGTTGGAATTTTATAAGCTACATAATTGTATTTGTTGTCAATTACAATTGATTCTTTTTCTTCTTCTAATTCCTTGTCTTATGGTTCAAGTAAATCCTACAAATCGTCCTTTTCAAAAATATTTTGCACAATATCTTTCTATGTTGTAAAATTTGACTATTTTTCTAATGGCTGTTCTTTTGTTATTATATTATCTATTGTTCTAGTATGCACTAATAGCTTTCTCTCTTTCAAACTAATATGTATTAACTCTAAATACCTAAACTCACATGTATCACTCATATCACAATAATTTTGGGATATCCCAATATTGATATCATGATAGAAATTCAAAGTTTAAAAATTTAAAAACTTACAATAGGAGGTTAAGACTTGGAAGTTTTGCAAAAACAAATAATTGAATTCAATACTTGATATTTCAAGGATCACTTAAAATATCAAATCTAAAATATCATCATTCAAATATTTTGGTGATTTGGAAAAGTCAAAGTGAAAAGAGAATTAAGGCAAGCAATATAGTTTTTGATATTTCACCCATCCTTTCATATTTTGATTTTAAAATCACCCACTTTGCAAGATAGGTGATTTGATGAAGTATGAAATTCTATTTCAAAATATCACGGCATACGTCACTGATGAAATATCACCCAAAAAATCCAAGTCTGAACCCCCTAACATGCCTCAGAGGTCCTGTCTAAATGCTGAGAAACTAATGATAACAGTAATTACTAACGGATGTAAAAGCCAGCAGAATGAGACAGTCTAACAGGGAAAACAATTTAGCGCAAGGCGAATAGATTAGTGGCTTTTATAGGGTGTTTTTGCTACCAAAATAATATACTTTGCACACACACAATCCCACAAACATAACACGATGTTAGCGGAAGGGAAAGCTTCACGCAACACGAGCATGACAGTGTGTCTCATCGACAGGCAAATTCCACCCAATAGACGAGTTTGGCAGAATGCAGTTTACGGTTCGAAAGGAGGATGAATAGAAAGTCTCCAGGAAGAAAAAAATGTAAATGAAAATTGTTACTGCTTCATGCTAGAGAAGTTGCGATCGCTAGGCGAATTCAGCAAGTCGATGATCGAGTCTGGCAATCTCATTGAAGCGGAGGTGGAGCAATGCGTGTTGCGAAGCGGTGATTACGAGAGGAGGTGTTCTTGGTGCAAGAGTAGAAGGATATGGGTTGATTTGGGTCGCATCCACATCGGAAGATTTTCATGGCGATGATCGTGGGTATTGAACCATCTCAACTCAGACAAAAGAGAAGAAGAATGTGCGTTTTGAATTGTCAGCATGGGCTTGCGAGAATGTGCCTCGCAGTGGAGGGGGTGGTGATCCAAAGGAAAGCCACGGTAGATGAGAAGCGTACATTCATCCAGGAGGCTTTTCGATGCTTTGTTTAGGTTTAGGGTTTAAGGATTGCTCTGTTGATGGATCTGGACCTTCGGGACATGCTTCATCGGTATTTTCATGCTGAAGTCGGTATTTTTGCCCGGAAAGAGAGCTTGGGCTGGGGATAATTTTCGTGTCTCTCTGTGGAAGTGGAAGATGCGAGGGTTGAGTGTTGAGAATTGAGGACGCAGTTCGGTTGATCGTATAGTTCTGGGTAACGTTGAAATCACTGCGTTTGAGGTCGGAAGTGTGGGTATGCTCTCTGGTTGGGTGTGGTAGATGCGATGCCGCTTATGGTGACGATTTGCTAGGAACTTGCAGTCGCGAAGACGCGCTTTTGTGGGTTGAGGTGGTCTTGGGTTTCATGCTCTGCAGGCAGTGACAGTCTCTTCTTTTATGTTGCAATTGGAACGTGAAGGATTATTCCGATGAGTCCATTTGAATCAATGAGTTTCGCATTTTCTTCATCGTAGAGTTAATCTCAGTTATTGCAATTTTCATTGCTGCACAAGTTTTTGTCACTCATGGGGGACAGAGAGAATCCCGCACCGTTGCAGGCCAATGAGGTTGCGAAAACCTTGAAGGGACCTGTGCAGGATGCAATTCACCGAGTGGAGAGGCTCGCAGAGGAGTTTCCGGCTGATAAAGACTTCCACTTTTACAATAACTTTCCGCAATTCAAGACCCCTGTGCGAAGAATTCAAACCCAAGTGAAGGATCTTCTAAATGATTTAGGATTAGCTAACCATTTGCGACCACAGACAGCTGGTTTTCCAAGTGATCTAGATGAGACTTATGACTGGCTAGTGGCACTGCAAGATGATCTTATGGAAGGGATTGATGCCGCAGTCGATCAATTGGCCAAGCAAAAGTCTGATGGAAAGCGAGGCAGGCCTAATGAAAAATTTCGAACTCCAACAAAGTTCCAAAAACACGACGGTAGCCCAAGTGAAGGGGCTAAAGCATCCAAAGGAAGTGATGAGCGCCGGTCTGTGCCCTTTCACGTGAGGTCTATACCACGGCCGCAAAACAAGTTCGATGTCATGGTGGACAATTCCAATACTCCATTCAAGCATCCTCAGGTGCAGAAGTTAGACTCTCAATCAGAAGGTATGCTATGTCAGTCGAATTCTACTCAAGTCGCAACTTAACGTGTCGTATTCTTGTTATTCTGGCTTGCTTAGCCCTATTGTTGTGAGCGCCTTTACTTTAGGGTAGTGGAAGTATTGCAGTGCAACTCTCGTAACTGAGAGATGTGGCTATTGGCAAACTGTGACCCGTCCGTTTGAGCTTTGCGTTGGGTCTGAAAGGCAGTGCAGCTATTTGACCAGTTTGTACTCATGTGTATCTTTTAACGGTAGGTTTATCAGCCTTGGACATGCACGCACGGAGGCTTGGTGTTACCTTTGAAGACATGCATCCGTTGGAGGTAAGTTGGGTCTCAGCTTAGGACAGATATATTGATTACGTGGCAGGTCGTCATGCAGGTCTTATTTTTTAAGGTTGTACATCTTGGCCACAAGTCATGATTCACTGCAAGCTCTTGTCTTCGTGTGGTTGTTCGTAGCAAATACCATGTCGACGTTTCTTCGTTTCAAGAGACCTCTGAATCCGTGTACACTGGATTTGATTTCTCTGACTGCAGGATGTACTGACGAAAATGGAATACGTGAATGAGAAAATGCTCGAAGCACCTGTCCCTCAGGAGCCGAGACCGGTTGATGAAACGCCATTAACTGTGATCTCAACAGCGTCAGAACTCAAAGATATGGCTATGAAGTGCAGGCTTGCTGGAGAAATTGCTGTTGGTCTCTAACTTTTACATTGTTGACCTAAATTGCTTGAAAACTCAGAGGGCAAGCTGTGCTACTTGTTTAGCTCATTTTTCAAATTTAATTTAGCTTGAATTGATTATGTTGCCCTTTAAAATGAAGTGATTGCCTTTTTAGTTTGTGAGAAATTATGGGAATGTCACTGCTGGATATATAATATTTTGTTGATTGAGATCTCTTTTGGCTTTTATGCTATCTGATATGAATGAGCTCCTCTATGCAGCCTTTTTAATTTGATCTAAACTAAATTAAATGTAAAGATATTATTTCATTACCATATGCTCACCTTTATTTTCATTTTTTGAAACTTTTTGTCTATTGTCTCTGGTTAGTCCTCCTTACAACTTGCTTCTTGCTGGCTACAGGTAGACCTCGAAAATCACAATTATCGTTCCTTTCAAGGTTTTGTTTGTCTAATGCAAGTTTCGACACGATCAGAAGATTTTATCGTGGACGCTCTTGCATTGCGCAGTCACATGGGTCCTTCTCTGAAGGATCTTTTTGCTGATGCTAATGTCAAAAAGGTCTTCCACTGTTTCTCTTTCCCTTCTCCTCTTTTTCTGGCTCTCCTTATTCTATTAAATCTAAATTGTTCAAATTCGATTTTATCTTTCTAAACAGCTATGATTTTTGTTTCTGAAGTGCAGGTGATGCATGGGGCAGATCGTGATATTGAATGGCTTCAAAGAGACTTTGGCATATATGTGTGCAACATGTTTGATACCGGCCAGGTCTGTCATTTGTATATACTGACATACCACGTGGATGAATATAAGTTTAACTCAAAAAGTATTTGGCTAATGTTTCTAAAAGGATTCAAAGGCTGGGCTGTTCATTTAACATTTGAATTCTTCACGGAAGAAGGCAGTCTGTAAGCACCTAAATGGAATGGGATGAGGGGTGAGCAGGCAGCAAGGGTGCTACAACTGGAAGGATTTGGGCTTGCATTTTTAATGCAACGTTTCTTGAAGATCAATCCAGATAAACGGTGCGAATTTGACCCTGGTCATTACACCTGACTTTTTATGTTTTGGCAACTACTTATTGTTTGTGAATGCTCACTGTGCCTTGGTGTTGGCCATATGTTAACAGTTACCAGCTTGCAGACTGGCGTATTCGACCTCTTCCTGCTGAAATGATCAAGTATGGCGCTCTACTTGGCACTTTTGTTGACTCATTTGTATGATTTATAATCTGATATTCTTTTCATTTTAGAGCGACTGTGAAAATTGCTTAAGCTTAATTACTTTGCCTCAAGCAGCTTCGCGTTCACATATACATTTTGACGCTTTTATTAGTCACTTATGCGTCTTTGATCGATCTATGCCGTCATAGACGATACTGTGGTTTAATTGTTCAGAGTTTTGGTAATTGAATTTAATCTGCAGTGTGATCCTCGCACAAACTTTTTCTGAAATGGTGATTATGATCTCTCTAGAATCTCTGTACCCAATATTGTTCTAGCTGCCAGCTTGATTGTTCATAATCTTGTACATGTCAGATATGCAAGAGAGGACACTCATTACCTACTGTATCTGTATGACCTGCTGAGAGTAGTGCTGGTGTCTATGCGCTCTACTGCTGGAAATGATGCGGATGATCCAGTTCTACAGGTACATTTTCTTTTTTTTGGGTCATGGTTGATCAGGATCTGCATCTTGTATTCATATTTGTGTTCTTAGGTTTTGAGTTATGTGAGTAGGCACCGCAGGTTTTTCGTTGACACTAAATTTTTATATGGAGAAATGTGATTTAAGTACTTCATCAACTTAAGAGGCCTTGCTTTGATCCTTTGCAGGTCTATAAACGTAGTCGTGACATCTGTCTTAAGATGTATAAAAAAGACATATTGACTGAGACTTCTTACCTTTCTTTATATGGGTAAGCACTTCATGTGCATTTATTCGAAGCGTAAGGATCATTTTTCTATGATTGGTATTTATTTATTTGTTTATCTTCTTCGGTAGTGGTTCTCTGACTTAAATAGTAACGTTTAAAGTTGTGACAAGTTCCATTGTGGTTGATGTGCAGATTGCAGGATAAGAATTTCAATTCCGAGCAAATGTCAGTGCTTGCTGTGAGTCATCAGCGTTCTTCTATCGTGTTTGCTTTTGTCATAGTGTCTTCCGGCTGCAAGTATCACATCGTCATTATTACATTTTATCAACACACCGAGGTTCCTTTGTATATGAATACTCTTATAATTCTGGGTTTGGGAGAATTCAGAAGCTCCTTTCTTAAATTGCTTGTCTTCAATCTGTCTCCAGGGTTTATATGCATGGCGCGATAATCTTGCTCGTAAACTAGACGAAAGCACTGGTTTTGTGTTACCTAACCAGCTCCTTTACAAGCTTGGTACACATCTCTATTCTTTCATATGCTCTCCAGTGCTGTCGATTAAGCGGCTTACAAGTTTGCATGATATATACGAATCATGAATCATGTTGTAACGGACTACGTTTTAATTGGGTTTTCAGTCTGATTACTGAAACAGCTCAAGTGTGGCCTGTGCATTTATGACTACCAGCTGAGGAGATGCCCGACACTGCGCGAACGTTGCAGATAGCGATCAGAGGACCGCATTCAGTTGTCGGTCAATATACAGCTGAAGTATTGGAAGTGATCAGACAGTACAGGGAAAAGGCTGCTACTGCCGCTCCTGCTACCTCATTTACTTTGTCTGAGAAAAGCGAATCTAAGGAAACTTCTGTTACTGAATCCGTAATGAATTTGAATCCGGAATCGGACCTTGTGAACAAAATCATGACTCAAAATGCGATCAAAATTACAGACTCTGTGTCAAGTGTTCCCAAGCGAATGGAAGAAGATGTTACACCTGTTTCAGCACATGGTGAAGATGTCAACATGAAACTTACTGCTGACGTTAACCATCGTACTGAAGAGCAAACACGTGTGGATTTTTCGGCATTTGCGGAGAATGATTCTAAACCTGGAAAAGCGGAAACATGTACAGAACAGCTAACAGTGGGGTCCTCCATGAGTGCTCAGGTCATGGTTAGAAAATCTTCTGCTGAAGATACTAAGCCAGCATCTACGAGCAACGTAAATGCAGCAGTAGTTAGAAGGGCTTCTGTACCTTCTCTAGCCCTGTTTGGAGGTTGTTCAAAGAAAACGAGTTCCGCACGTAGCGAAGATTTGAAGACTGAAGCAAAAGCTACCAAAACCTCCACAAAAGCTAGTTCACCAAACTCTAGGAGAGGCCTAACGAATTCAGAATCAGCCAAGTGTCCCAGTGAATCTGAGGTTGTAACAGGTGCCAGCTTGAGTACCAGTCTTAACGTTGTGAGTGGTTTAGTTGAAAACGCGGAGGAGAGCATGAACATCTCAAAAGTTGAGGTTTTTTCAGAAGATAGCAAAGTTTTGGAGTATCAAGGACGTGGGAATGAAGTGTGTTTGACCAATACAACTCCAGTTTCCTTTGATGACAGCCGTAAGAGTGAGGATGTTATTATGGGCGTTGCTGACGAAGAGAAAGTTTCCGAAACAAGTCCTGGAAACTTATCAGTCCCAGAAGTAAATCCTACAAGAAGCGCAGCTGTTTTGTCAAAACCTGCGGATCAAAGTTTTGCCTCGAGTAAAAGCCATGGAGCAGCACGACACGGCATGGGGTCTATGCTTGGTTCTTCTGGACATCGCAAACGCCAAAAGAGGCAAAATGAGGATATGGAAATGGTAAGTTTTCTGCTACTAGTTTTGATTTTGAATATTATCAGTGGATGTATTTCTGTTAGTGAGTAGTATGTAGTGCTGTTTTTCTCTATTTTTATGATCGAAGTGGTAGAGGCAGCTTATATAATGGTTCAAGATTTGAGTGGCTTCAAAATTATGGTTTTACGATGTCTCTTAAGTTTTTCCGCTGTTAATGTGGTTACGTTTCTTTCAGAGCTATATAGCTTTTATGATATAGTCGATCTAAATCAAGTTCGTTGCTACACAGGTAGCAGCTAAGTTGCGTGCGAGCCGGATTCAGGCTTCAGTGATACTTCCTTTTCATCGAGCTCCAACTCTAGGCGAGCAGGATGCAGAGATGTCTGCTCAAGAGACTTCTACCGTCGTTTCAGCAGCCACCGGAAGTGAACCACCCAATATCTTATACTCACAGTCTTCTTCACCCAATGAAGTAAATGCTTCTCCAATTCAAGGGGACTCCTTGCTTGAAGACTTAGGTGACTACGTGAAGATTGGGAGCACTGAGAGAGAGTTCAGGAAAGGATTCGACAAGAATCGCTCAAATCGGCAGGCCGAGTTCGCTACTGAGGAGGAAAGTCCTCTTCCGAAACCACTCTCTGAGATGCGGAGACATCATAAGCATCAACACAGAGAGCACCAAGCACACTCGTCCAGTTCTCCAAGACCTAACCACCAACAACCTGAGAAACAGAAGCTTTTTGCTGTTGAAGTCAATGAGGTATTTGTTGGTGAGGAAGCTGGTTTTAAGCCATTTGACTATGGGGTAGCTAGAAGAGAAATTGGTTTAGGAGACAACCTAGTTTCTCGTAAAGACGATGGCCAAGCTAGTCGAGGACGGGGTAGAGGCAGGCCGGTGAACCCAAACAAACGGCAGAAGCAGTTGGCTCCACCATCCACAAACGGGCCAGTGCAACCGTTCGATCCTCTTCGGAGAGTTAGACAGGAGCCTCGTCCTGAAGGCATCCCGGCTGCTAAGAGGAGACAAGTTTTCCCACAAAGTGGAAACAGGACAGCCTCCTTCAAACGCTGATAGGTATTCCCTGTGTTCCCATCCAAGCGTTTCTGCAAAGGATTCTAAGTTCCAATCTTTTATACCCTTCGTGCCTTCAGGCTCATAGAGTAGTGCTTTCTTGCACCAGTAGCTGGAGTGCTCCCTCAAAGAGTGCTCTTGGATTACAATTTCTCGGGACTGACGCAGGAGTTCATAATCTCGACTTACCCTTGCTCTAATTGTAATGTGATGAAAGATTTATGCTCATGCAGTATGCTCAAATGAACTCTAATTTAGTTACACAGGTAATGTAACCACTATTACTTTCAACAATAAGTTGTACTCTTGTTCTTGTTTTGCTTATTAATTGTAACTGCTACAGTGAAGCCTGGTTGCTTGAAACTCGTGATTACAACTTCCACAACTTGATAATCAGCTTGTCCTAGGTATCGTTTTCCCCAAACTATGATTGTTTTACCAATAGTTCGTTCATTCTTTTGCGCTACGCAATTTTATACTGTGAGATGACTTTGATACTCTTCTGATTAAAGTGCATCATCTAAATCTAAAAAAATTAGTGTTAAGGTTTCAGGTTCATTTGATTTGATGAAAAGTTTTGTAGGTGTGCAATCATAAGATCTTCTATGGATTGGTGAATTGAACTGAAGTTTAAACTGAAATCTCAGATCTCTCACAAATTTAAAAGTTGTAACATTTGACTAAAGCGCCCGAGTGTTTGACTCTATCCGATAAAGTATTCATAGCAACTCTTCTCATTATAAAGAACATTTTTTCCAGGTGCTGGATAGCTCAAATGTGATGGTGCAGCAACAATTGAGTAGGGTTAGAGCTATGGCTGCTGCATGAATAGCTTTCCAAGAAATGGGCTATTGGTTTTGTTAACAGAAATTACAGTTTTGATTCCGTCCTGAATACCACCTATGATCAGGTGGGTGGCTCCATGTCACCAAACAGTAATTGGTAAGTCTTTGATAAACGTCCTTTCTCGTCCCGAAGGGGTGATCACTGTAAGAATCCACACTATTTATCCTTCAGCATTTAGCTAAAATATGCCGGTGTAAGAATCTGAAGCACAAAATACAGACTTCCGTTCCTGTAGCCAGATTGTGCATCTCAACTTAAGTCACTTCTATCAAATCAGAATGTACCCTTGGTAAGCAAGGATACAAGAAGAAGCTGTGAAAGATATGAATGCGATATGAATGCTGCCATGTCTGATGAAATGCGTGTGAAACAAGAGTCAATTTTGATTCAAGAATCATTCAAGGTGAAAACATTTCATCAATCCAATTTTGGGTGACACTGTTGGAAAACCTGAAACAGCCCCTGTCGTCCGTGAGATACGATGCTAGCGCCAACTTCAAATCTCCAGTCCATCTCTAGCTGATCTAGGTCGAACAGAAGTTGTGGGCGAGTTGTCAATATCCTGTTAATTGTTACAGCTGCAGAGGGACAAGCTTCAGAAGTACATCAAGAAACACTGAAGGTCAATTTACACTACGATTACGTATTCCACCATGGCCATTACATTTAACTGTTTAGTTGACTACCTGCAGTTAAATGACAATGTATCACCCATTCTTGTGAGGCCCCAGACTGGTTGGGGAGGCAGCCCTGGATTTTCACGTGGTATCAGAGATCAAAATACTCCGAGAATTATAGAAGTTAATACCACTGAGCAGAGAGCACCGAAGGAGGACAAAAGGAGGGCATAAGTAAAGTATGGGCGGATTACTATTCTATGCGACTACTAAATTCTTCTTCTCATCAAATCTTGCTTCTAATATCCTATTTGACATTATGCTTGTTAAACAAATACAGCGAAGAAGGTAAGCTGAAGAAAGAAAGTAAGAAAGGAAGGAGGGAAGGAGGGAAGGAGGGAGAGAGGAAAATGGATGGAGTGGGCATGGTAGCGCACTGGCAACTGATGTCTCCTGAAACCAAGCCCATGGCAGGTTCATGGTAAATCAGCAAAGCCACGGAGCACGTGGGCGATACAGTCAGACCTCCTGCTAGCTCCACCACCAGTATGTCCTAAAACCTTCGCTCTGTTCTTTCCTATTGCAAATGTACCCAATAAGAATTCAACAGTTAAAATTGAAGCTGCATGTGCAGTTCTCTAATGTCTTCAATCAACGCAAGGGAAAAATCTGTATGCTGAAATTCATTAGCACACGTATTAGCATAGACAAAAACGGCAGAACCCCAAAATCCGGAAACACTGGTCCTTAGAGTGCGCCGTTCGCCTCTCATTCATCCAGTTCAGTTTTCCTACTTTCCACATGATGCGTCTTCACAAGAGCCGAGGACTGAGTTCCGTCATCATCTGATACTCGTCATTGTCTCATCCATCTCTGCTTCGCTTATAAGTATCCTAGTCAGGACGATGGCGCTCTGCTAGGTACTGGTAGAAGTTTTGGTGAATTTTGTGGTTGTCTGCTTGCTGCGCTTAGTGAACGGAATCGCCTACCCTGGTGAACATGCTTTTTTCTTCTATTTTTTGTTTACTTTCATTGGGTACAATTAATCCATCTCAGAGACCAAGTTGGATCAGTCATTTGAGCGAAGTTGTAGATCTAGAAGGAATTTCGGTAACTCTAGGGTTGGCCATGTTTATTTAAGTGTTCAAAGGAAGCCGTCGTGGTGCGGAATTTGGAGAGAAACTGATGCTGTTTTCGAAAAACAATAGTTTTTCTCATTGAGGGTTTTGGCGGATTTTGTGGTATATACTTTAAATCGTTCTGTGGTATCAATCACTTCTGCTCGGAGTTTGGAAGGTGCTTGACAATATCTCTGTTTGCGGTATAGAGCAGGTGCAGACGACTGAAGAATTTTTTTGCAAGGTTTGCTTCGGAGAGGGATAGGATGTCTGCATTGGGGAAGAAGAAGGGACTATTGGAGGTGTTCAAATTTGGCACCTACATTGCTATTCCGATTGTCATGATGTACGCTTTTGCAAACAACTCCGATAATCTGGAGAAGATTATTCGTAATGTAAGCACCTATGTTACATTCCAACTCACGTCAATTACCATCTTTAATTTGTGGGTTTAGCTCGGTGTGTCTTGAGATTACTTCGTTTTCATTCTCCCAAGTTATTGGTGCCTGTTTAAGTTCAATTTACAATGGAGCAAGATTTAGCGATGGAATTGATTGAAACTACTTTTAGTAGCGTATTTTCATTTTATCCATATTCTTCAAGAATGGTGGTTGCGGTTGTGGATTGCTCCAGATTAACGAGTTTGAAGCATCTTCAATCCAGCAAGATTAAAATTTTGTTTCTATCTGAACCCAAATTCTTCGAAATCCCGTTGTGTGGACACGTGACTTGCTGTATACGTCAGTGAGCAGACAGAGTTCGCTTCTTTGTTTCATAGTCACTTTCTTACGAGTTTCTCTTTATAGTTAATAATTTCTGTAATGTGGCTGTGCCACGGTGACGAAACATATGTTGCATCAAGCCCTTGTCTGGTTTGTGCTTCAAATTTCGCTGTCGTGTGTGAAGGTATTAGTATTCCATGTCCTGGTGGGCCTTGAGTTATATCAGTTTTACTACTACTCTTCGAATTACCCAAATTCAAACTGCAGTTCTAACTGCAGTGGTACTTGTGCCAGCGCTCATATGTGGTCTACCCACCAGAAGGACCTCGTCCACCATCAGGGGATGAAATTCGCGATATGATCAAGAAGAACAAAGCAGCGTCATAAATTCGGGAAATAGGTGCCGACCTCACCATCTAAGGGTATTTGGTTGGTGAAGAGAATCAACCTCAATGGTATGTATCAGTTGCTGTGGCGAGAGGAATGGGCTCTCTTTCATCCACTGCCAGCCTTTTATCTTCTACTGATGTCAATTGCAAAGTTTCAAATTCCGCAAATCCTTGGGATTCGCCATTGGTCCTAGAAATAGAGCATGATGGCACAGCAAGCAGCTTGTATGTAGCTTCTGCTAAGTACTCATATAGTATCCTAATTAACATGCAATGAGAAATGGTTTTTCCGCATATATTTTGTTGCGGTCTTTCTTGTCATCAATGTGAATAGGGTTGGTGTGATGTCTCACACTGCCCTACTGGATAGAACTCAAATCACAAATAGTTTCGTAAACATCGGGACTTGTTACCATCTGCTGGTGAAGTTACTGTAGTGGTCCGACGCCTCCATCAACGAGATTTCTCGAAAGGAATAGTAGAGCATGTACAGACGCTCTATCAAACTTAAGTAATGTTTACCAACAGCTCTAACATGCAGAATTGAACAATGGTGCTGAAATTGATGGACCAGTATGCACCTGATCTAGGTCGTAAATTCTGAACTGCACTTGTGAACGATGCTTTAATACACTTTATTCTGTGATCGCACTGGGATAACAACCTTCCAGTAATTGCAGCATATACGCAAACAAAACTTTTTGAAATGCAACGAAGATGAAATTAATATAGAAACCAATGAACTACAAGGCAATTGTGTGAGCGTTTGCAATAGAACAAATTGTGAAACCAGTATTTCACTAAAAGACGTGCATGAATAATAATGAAAATTGGTGTACATGGATTTACAATCCTGTGAACGTAGTTGCGCACAACCTTGACGAACTTGGGAGCCCATTCTGGCAACCTTTCAGATCTCACGGTGATTGGTTCAAGGAAGACAGGAGCACACTGAATTGCCATTCTTCACATCTAATCTTGCATGCCAAGGTTTCGAGCTATCTGCGGCTTCACCCTTAAGAGGCAGCAAATGTAATGCTGGCAACGGTTAACAGGTTTTCGTGCAGGGGCTGGACAACACATTAGATATATCAGTTGAAGTAATAATACTTCAGTATAGAACACGTATGAGATTAAGCCTACGTACCAGAGACTTGCAGACAAAATGAATCAAAAATTAATAATAAATACTCACTCCAAAAGAATCGAAGACAATTCACCGTCTTGATTATCAATGCTTCCGATTCTTCAGGTGTCTTTTCCTTCCATGCCTTCCGGGTTCATAGTCAGAGTCATCTGACTTAGGTCTAACTAACTCATCCTGTGTCTTCGCCTCTTCCCTAAAACAACCATGTGTCCGAGATTAAGGTCTTCAGTATCTCAAAACGCACTATTAAAGTTCTCACCAAGTACATCGAGATTGGCTTGTTTCACATATAGAAAGATAATCAACTGCACAGTTGTTAGTTCAGCTTCACTCTTCTCACAACCAAGAGGTCTTCAGAAATAATACTAAAACTTAGGATCGTTGAAGTGAACCCGGCTGAAATTTCATTAAAAATATTTGTTGGATAGAATCTTGTTAGATGTGACAAATTCATGAAGTGCCTATGGAGCGACCGTCTTCATGACCTTGGAATCTCTTCCCTCTGGGCCACTGTGACTTTGCTCTTCTTGAATATTTAAGAAAAAAACGTCGATTCTTTTTCCTGCTTATATAATGTTTCAAAGTCTTTCCAGGGGCCTCATCCCTGTGCTTCAGGGAAACACAATTAATATTAATCGTAAAAAGCACTTAGTAAAATCTAACATGAGGTAAGCGGCAGTTGAGTGAGACATAAATTATATTCTGTCTTATTTAACGATCCATCTTGAAGTTTACCCAATTGAGGCTTCCTTGTGATTCACCACCGGATGTCCTGGTTTTTCTAATTTCTGTCTTTTCGGCTCTATATAAAATTGTTCTAACGTCTCTTCCCTGAGGTCATCCATAAGTTATACCACATTCAAATGTTACACGACAACTCAAAAAAAACTCAAAACAAAAGATCAGAAAAGCAGAGGCTAGCAAGGTTAATAAAATATCAAACTCACTTGGGCCTGTCTAATTCTTTGAGTTGATCCATCGCATATCTGGCTGTATACAACATCATTTTCTTAACCTGTGGAATGAACAAATTAGTATCAATCTCTCTCTCTCTCTCTCTCTCTCTCTCTCTCTCTCTCTGATTTTGCAAAAACATGCGTATAATCTACTTCTGTAATCAAGCTGAAATATAACCCCGTATAGACTTTGGTTAGCAGGCTAATCGCATTTTCAGTAGTTGTGGAATTGGAAGACAGAAACTAAGGTTACAGTACCTCAAGTTTATCTTCCTTTGCCCGATGATCAGTAGGAAGAAGGCGAAACTGCTCCGTCAAGTCGACACACTGGCTCACATTCTCAGGAGAAACGAAATCGAGTGCTACCTTGATACATGACTACATCAGCAACCCAAAACGATAGAGCTTATCACACAGCTGGATATGGATAACTTTACAACCAGAGAGAACATAAGATTGGCTACAACAAACAAGAAATCAGAAATGCTCAACCTTGTTAGCATTGATACAGAAAAATAAAATGTTGACCAATCAGGAATACTAAAATTACCTTCAGATTACGAACTTGGTGAGGACATCCAACAGGAATAAATACAGCTTCGCCATAAGCCTGCTCGAAAGTCCAGGGTTCAATTCCTGCAGGATGACAAATCATTCAGTGCTGTGATGTGGTTTGAAATTTATATGCCTTGAATTGCTGCACAAACCTCTTTCTGTAAACCAATCAGACAATGTAGCAGGTGTTGAAGTTATATTTAAACTGTTCCGGGCATGCAAATGAGAATAAACTACCACTACTACACAGAGATTTCTACGTAGTTGTTTTAGTAGTAACTGCAACTCGAGACTGTGACAATGACTTCAATACTACAACTATATACAATGAGAAACATGAGATACTAAAGCGATCCATATGGCCCTGCCAACCAAGAGCAGGTACTTTAACAGTGAAGTGTCTCACCGTATTCTTCTTTCAATCGCCTCTTCTGTTCCACATCCAAATAGAATGTTTGATCATGAATTGGGTGAATTACCTACAAGCTCAGGCAACCACATATTATTACACAATGAGTACACAACAAAAGTATGAACAGCACTTGATATATCATATTGCTACTACTTTAACTCGAAGTGTAAGATTGACAAGTTTAGAGATTCAAGCACGGAAACATGTTGCTATTCGTATGCGTAACTTAAATGCACACTGAGAAAAAGGACATGCAAAACCCAGACAAGATAGCGTACTCACGTTATCAACAGGCATACAATCGACATGCAAAAACTCACGCCAATGCCTTCGCAGGTATTCATCAAGTTTGGGCACATCCTCCCGTCGAAATATGTCCCAAAGAGCCCCACCATACGTTGCATCATCAGCCGAAAGTCCCTGACTTTCAGTCTCATGCCTATCGACGCCAGCCTCGATTAGAACACCTAATTGATTTTGAGATTTGCTATCAACGTTGTTCTTGCAAATACCATTATCATGCATAATTTGCTTACCACCATTTAGTGGTCTGCCAATAGACGGATTCATTGTTTCAGCTGAAATTTCTTCAGCAGTTTTTGGTTCATTTTCCACAATCTTTGGTGTACCCTCTACACTAATTATCTCTTCATGTTTGTTGCAAGAGGTGTCTTTCTTTTCCACACTTTTTCTTCCGCCTTTCTTTGTTTTCTTGCCATGCTGACCATACTCGATCCCGCCTAGTTTAAATTTTTTAAGAAGCTTCTCAATCATTGGTACCTTGTCTTTTGGAAACTTAATTTCTGCAGAGTGTGTCAACACATTGACCTGCACATTAACCACAAAGAGACGATGTTAATATGGCGAGACTATCCAAACCTGCGATTGGGAAGTAGAATTTTCATGCCGATTCCAAAGTCTGAATCCCAAATTGAACGGCCTTGGACAAGAAAGCTTACTGCATCAGACATGTCGCAATGCAACTTCGTAACTGAATCACCCATTCCCAGCTCGTGTCTCAATCCGTAGGCAATATACGTTTTTGGGCCCAAGTCAGGCTTAATAGCCTCTTTGGGTAGTTGGGCAGCTAGATTGAGCATGCCCTTTGACGGGTCAGTATATTCGTGGAAAGGCAGTGCATGAAGAAATTCAGCTCCGTGTCTCGGAAGGCGTTCCTCAAAGTGGTTAGAAGGTGGCCAATCCTTCAACTTCAGCATTTCAGGCCATCCATCGGGTTTTCTTTGAAGTCTCCCTTCCTCGTAGCCCTTGAAGAACTGATGAATGTTGATTTCAACCTGAAACCACATACAACTACTAAAATCAGAGAACCATGCTCTGAAGCACTGCTAATGACTTAACAATAGTTTAACTTAGAAATAGAGTAAGAGGAAAAGTGATTACAGATACCAAAAATGGTAGAACCAGTACATCAATACCTCTTCACCTGATAGCTTACCTCACGCCAATCAAGACAGTCAAGTGCTTTGACAGTTTTGGTGTCATCTTTAAACTTGCCCTTGGTAGTTTCTCGAACTGCACGCCACATAACCAGAGGCTCCCAGCTGAGGCCCGTAGTACATTCAAGCACGTCCCGGACAATAACAGGCTCACCACGCATCCAATGCTTCTGGAAGTGGGTAAGCCCTACGTCTTCCACACTTTGCCTTGTTGGACAAAATAGGTAGTTATCATTTGAATGAATCCGATTCGCACACAAGCGCAAGTCCTGTTTTTCATTTGCTTCGGACTTGTAACAGACGTCACAGCGCACTGAATCATCCTGCTTTGGAATATCACAAGTCGCAGCAGCATTCTCAACCTCTGAGGTAAGCTTGGCAGTCCAGTCTTGGTCGAAGAGTGTGCGAAGGGATAGAGTAGTCTTACCACAACCACCTCGAGCGGATGGAGGGCATGGGATGGAACCATCATCGTTCGCAACCCAAGCAGGTAAAGTCTCTGCTTCTGGCTCCAGTTCCACTGCAGCCGGTAGAGCGGATTCCAAATTCATGCCGGCTGAGTCGAGTGTTTGGAGGTCGTCATCGCTATCCTTTAAAAGTATCACGCCTCTTTCGTCCACTTCTTCAGGAGGATTTTTCCTCTTCCTCCCTCTTCTTTTAGAAAGTTTATTCTTCTCCTTCTCGTTTCCCTTCTTCTCCTTCTCCTTTTCCTTCTTCTCGTTCTCCTTTTCTTTGACTTTCTCATTGTCATCGTACTCAGGAAGCTTTATGTGTGCTGATTCAGCCTGCTTACCCCCAGGCTGGAGTCCGTGACGAAGCTCGTGACAGCATCGAAGACAGAGGTCGTAACCGCATTCTTTACAATTCCTGTGGTAGTCGACGATTGAAGTGCTACAATTATTGCTGCAAATTCATGACAAATCTCATCCGTCAAAAAATGAACATAGAAGTTCCTAAGAAAATAAGCTCAGAAAATAAAGTGAGACTTGCGTCCAGGATGGAGTTTCGCATGACTTATCACATAATACTTTTATTGCTAAAGATAATAAGTAGAGCCAAGATACAACCATATCAGTTAAACGTTTGGTACATACTGAACTTAAACGTTGAAAATGAAACGCATTCGACCAGTAGATGCAGTTCACAGGAACTGAAAAATTTGAATGGTTGAGATAGTCCTGTAATAAAATTCATCATAATTTCGAGCCACATCAAACAGACAAAACCTTTATATTTAATGCTGATGACGCTTACCAATACAAACGCTCGTCCATTGAAATTGCTGCCCGCTCCACATTTACAGCAGGCGTTCCTGAACCAGTGCAACAGACAGACTCAACGTCTGATCTTACATTTCATTTGTCAAGAACTTGTTGAAGTCCAGGAACAAGGTTACGTTCATAGCACATAAATCGGCAGATGACTCTATTTCTACCCAAGAAGTAGCCTCATTTTAATGAGAGTTAAGACTGCCCATTGGCCTTGTTACCAATCTTATTTACAATCACTCAATGCAGAACCTGTACTTTACCTTGTCTACTGCGCTCGACCTTCAGCTCCTCACGCTGCTCCTGGTGCAGTTTCTGCAAGCAAGGTAGAATTTTGACCAGGCAATACAGCAAAATCTTCTTGGTTTCCTCGTCAGAAAGAGGTGCTTTCTCCTGTAAATTAGGGCCGTCATCACGGACGGACATTAATAGCACGTCAGTGAAAATTGAAGTTTATTCATCGTAAACAACACGGTCATCGCTCCAATGGGATATATAATTGATTACTAATTTTCAACGAAGTCTTAAAATCCATTTATCAACTTAAATTTCCCTCCCTTAGAACAAGATTTTGAATCTTCACACAAATGCATCTCCATGTCATATTGCTCCACTTCACTTAGCATAAAGGTAAAGGTGCTCAGTGTTCACCAGGGTAGGCCCACTGGAACGAAGACAGGCCTTGCAATTGCAGTTCCCACGACACCATGGGCAATTTTCAACTACATCGTCAAATGTCAGCAAGGGATACCTGACAGAGAATAAAAACAAATCTTCAGGGAATTTCTGTGTGACCTTGAGTGCCGCACATGGAATGCATTCTCAATATATTAGACGAGGACAGAGATTACTAACGTGTACAAACAAATCCAATGACAAACTTCCAGACGGTTGCCTTTACCAATTCTCAATACAATCGGAGCAGAAGCGCCTGCGATTACACTTCCTGCAAAAAGCAACCTTCTCCTTCTTGCTGCTCTGGCATTGGTGGCACATGCGAACTTCTGTGAAATCCCTTCCCTAAAAGGACATCCAAAAGAGGCAGTTAGTGATAACAGATTCGAACGAATTAGATTAGAAGGTTGCATTGTACGAGAATGTCCACGAATGACGACCACAAAAACGAACAATCAAAGTAGAGATCGTTTACTTCCAGGCACTTTCACTCTACATGCAAGTCTCAGTAATTATTTTGATAATAATCCTTATCGGCCAATTATTACATCATCATGCACACTAATTACGATTTTTGACGCTAGACAGGATACGTCGAGTGTGCAAGTCGAGTACCGACCTGTCTTCCATATATCGGCTTCGAATGATCACAATCACTGTTGTCGGGCTCCTCAGCCTTGCTATCTGCAGCCCGAGCATTTCTTTTCCTTTGGGATTTTGCAGAATCATTGGGACTTTCAGTTACCTTTTCCTTCTTTACCCTGTGAATTTGCTTAGGTTCCTTTACCTTAAGTGTCTTGGGAGACTTGCCCTTCTTGTCCCTGTAATACAAAGTGTGCTTTTCACAATATATGGACCCCTCAATCTTGCTCCCCGAGCATTGCCATTTCTTTCCATCACTCCTATGGCAACGGTTAGCAGAATCAGGTAGAGCGAGATTTTCAGGATCCTTCTGGGACATAGACTTACGCTTTATGCTTGGGGCAGATTCTGATTCAGTTCCATCTAACTTAAAGTCGGCGCTGTTCGCAGGCATACCAGCCTGTCCCACTTCAGACCCATTCAGACCCTCAGATTCGATCTCACTCTTATCGTCACTACTATCTTCATCCGTCTTTCTGAGACGAATTTGAGCATCTTGCTTTGCTTGGCGTTGCGGCCTAAACTTTATAGGGCCATCAAACCCCCTGCCATTCTTCAAGCCATCGTCAGGAGAGGAGTGACAAAGCATATAAATAAAATGAAACCCCAAGGCAAAAAACAAGCATACCAGTATGCGAATCTAAACTAAAAGGTCACGTATATTTCAAAGAAAAGGTACATGCCTCGCAAAAAGGTAACGTGTATCACTCTTCAAGAAGTAGAGCTCACACAACACTTGCAGTAGACAGGCATTAAAATGTACAGAATCTATACATCCAAAATGCGATAATTGTGACAGGAACAATACGTACATAGGGACAGCACTCAATGATCACTAGTTAATGACTTCAGTTGGCTTCAGACAGAATTTGCATCCTAGCAATTTGATCCGCTGGTAGGTATACCTGAAATTTCAGAAACCAAGCTATTATCAACCTTAAGATTGGGAAGCTTAAGGGCATAAATACCACAATGGAAGTGTGCATCTTGTGAAACCTATCTTGCAAACACCTGTAGAGTGTACATGAAGCTGATCAAGAGAAGGAAGAACTCTTATTTACATCAACACATTTACATATTTTTAGGTTTCAAAATTTGCGGGTCATCAAGTTCCAATAAAAACCACTGAAAAATAATATACACAACTGTGCGGAAATCCAAGGATACGTTTTATGGAAGTTGCGAAATCCATGACTATGCATGGGCGAGAAGCTGAAACGCACAGTGGACATGACTAACTGCACAGATGCAAATACTGCGAAGTAGGAACAAAAACACCAACAGAGACCGCAAAGACAATTACACGTGAACTTTTAGACGGAGGTACCTGGTGCAGATCCATTATATTCCTGCAACCGACAAAACCATGACCTTGGCGCAATGACTTAAATGTGCCAAGAATTTACTAATACAATTGCATTAAAAAATTTAAAAAATTTAAAAAAAAAAAAAAAAAAAAAAAAAAAAACGTACGATCTGACATCAAGATGCCGTAATTTCAACCTGTCTTCTAATCAGAAAATTGCTGATGCCATGCCAAACTTGTCAAACGAAGACTACTTGTGAATCCTGAACCCGTCCATTCATGGCAAGCACGACTATTGAGGTGTGCGTCCTTGACAGCTCAAGCTTGGCAAAGCATTAGGCTGAAACGTCGAGGCCAGACTGATAGTGGTGACACCTACCAATTGTGATGAAGAACAGCACCAAGAGGCGAAAACATAGAAGAAACCAATAACTTTCAAGATATCTGGCCATGAACAAATCCCACCGGACCAGAGCTGGTACATCACTGGTAATCAAGCATCTTGATTACGTCACTTCATGAAATAAACAAGACCAGAGATACCCAATGATCAGCCCCGACAATGATCGAACAAACGATTATTACACGACGCTAAGGCAATACATTCACCCTAAATGAACGTCACACATCCTAGCTTAAGCTCATTCGTAACCAGAGGCATCTTTACGCGCTACCAGTAAGACTCGGACACACAACTGCTGCATTTCCGATAATGGTACCCTACATTTCACAATCCCAAAATCCCAAACAACACAGCTTTCGCTACCGCCCCATCCAACGTCAAGAAACCACATCCTCATACTCATCCCTCCCTGCACATCCTTCACCTCGCCCCATCTCCCCAACCAGGAAAAAGATACCACCTCATCACTCCTCTAGCCATAGCCGCGCCAAAACGAGAGAGAGAGAGAGAGAGAGCGCGATGTCAAAAAACCAAAACAATGAGAACAGGGTCTCAAAATAACTACACCCAACCTCCCGTCCCAACAGCCCGTGATTGCCTCCCCGATCGAACGAACCAAACCATCTCCTCCTCACTCGGGGAAACACCCCCCTCACCCGCGCATCAAAAATTTGGCAGCAACGCAGACACACCGGGCAGAGAGTGTGGAAGATTTGACGACAATCACCTTTCCTTTTCTTTTCTTTTCTTTTCCCCCCTCCCTTCCCTCCCCGTTTCCTCTACCTCCACCTCCACGTCACAGCACTAATAATGGGGCCGCCATAAGGGTGGGCACCGCGCGAATACTCCCAGGGATCGAAGTGAGTGGGTCCACAACAAACACCACTAATGAGTGAGTGAATGGTAGCAACGCCCGAGAATAGCCTGGCTCCCTCCCTCCCCTCCCCTCCCCGCACTCACTCACTCATTCACTCACCCCCACTTTTACTCCCTTTACTCCCTTTCTGTCTATCTGCCTATCTATCCCTTTACTCCCCTTCTCCTTCCTCGTATGTTATGCTGTGTGAGGGCTGATCGAGGGGATGCTAATGCTGACGACGCTGGTTGCAAATAATAATGCCATACATGCGCTACTACGCACTCCTACGCAGACTCACTCACTCCATCGCAACCACGGTCACGCATCGCAACGCAACGCAACGCAACTCCCTCTCTCTCCCGCCCTCCCTCCCTCCCTCCACTGCGAGCCAGCGAAAGGGCGAGCGAGACCAGGAGTGAAACTGAGCAGCAGCAGTATCAGCATCAGCAGCAGCCCTTTGTCGCCCGACCCAGCCCGGCCCGGCCCGACCCTCTTCGTCTCCCTCGTAATCCAGATTTTATATTTCTCATATTTCTTTCTTGTTTGTTCCGCAGTGTTTGTTGTTTGCTGTTTATTTCTGCTTTGTGGAAGCGTGTGTGTGTGTGTGCGTGAGAGAGAGAGAGAGAGAGAGATAGAGAGGTTTTTCTTTTATTCTTTGGGAACTTTCTTTTTTTAAAGGAGTGTTGATTTAGACATGTTGCCTTGAATGTGTATATAGGTGCGTTGTGTGGGATTGTTGTGAGATGAGAATGTAGTTCTTCTGAAAAATAATGTTTTTTGATTTTGTAATTTTTTGGGTTTTTTTTTTTTTAAATAATATTAACAAAGGAATTTTTGGGTGACTGAGAATAAAGTAAATCATACATGAATATTGATCCTAAAATTATTACCTTGTAAATGTTCAACCTTGGATATTAATCACAACATATTTTCATGGAGACACAAAAGATAGTTTTTAAACAAATAAAATTAATTGATTGTCTTTTGGTGTGCAAATACATTTGTAAATTACAATTGGTCAACTGGCTGCTTCCTAGAAACATGTTGAAAGAACAGAATTTTCAAAAGAATTCTACTGTACCAAAATTACTATTTACATCCGTGCTACACGTGTATTTCTATTGAAATAAAGTATTGATATTGACAGTGGCCAAGATGTAGGTTATAGTGTAAATTGAATTTTATAAGTTGATTTCACTACATGTGAAGAAAAAGGACATTCAAAACGTGCAAATTTCTTGCTTTCCTTCAAATAAATGTAATAACAATAATAAAAATTGATTTGTTTGCTTTAACTTTTGTCAATATTATGCATATGCAACAAATAAACTTCGCATAATCTCATGTACATGTGTACAGTATGGTATTTTTCTTAGATGGAACTTAATGTTGCATAAAAACAATATTTTTAAACCTCTAATACAACAATTACAGAAAGAGTATAAATGTTTGATAATTATAGTCAAAAATTGAAGAGATATTTTTTTTATTTGAATAAAATAGAAGATAAGATTTTCAAAAAACACGTGTGATGATGTTAGTTTACTTTTAAGCACATATTTATTAAATGAATACATTGTCATATTAAATAATTATGTGCTTTAGTTATATATAAAGAGATATATAGGGGAATGTTAAATAGATCCAAGTTTTCACTAAATTGATGCACCCATCTAAACCATCATGAAGAAGGAAATAAAAAAATATGTGAAATATATATATATATATATATATATATTGATTCATTTCTCCACTATTGGATCTACAATTAGTAAAAATCAACTGCATTCATCATGATCTCCATATTCTTCATCAAAGGTGGGTCTATTTAACATTCTTCTCTCTCCCTATATATATATATATATATATACAACTTTTGGACATACTAGGATCTCTCAAAAGAAATTTACCATTGGATTCATAAAAAAATAATAATATATAATAAATAAAATTTAATGTAAACTTATGTCTCACATGCTATTTAAATTAATATTTAATTTTATAAATTAAGGACATAAATTTGGTGATATGTATTTATCTCAAATAATAATAATAATAATAATAATTTAGGATATTTTGAAAATAATAAAGATATCTTATTAAATAAGTAACATCAAATATATATATATATATATTTATACATAAAGGAATTCATATTGTTTCTTTTTTAACTAGAGTTTTATCAATGATATTATTATCATTTTTATTATCATTTTTATTATCATTATTATTATTACAGGTAATTGGTATCATCTTTGATTTAAAATTATAGTTCTTTTGCAGAAATAATTGAAAAATAAAATAAAAGTATTGTTATGCCAAAATAGAAACTCATGAGACCAACTACTAAACTATAACATCTTTGTTATAGTTTAAATTTTTCACTAAAAACCATAAAATGTAGGGAAGTTTTAATATATATATCCCTCAAATATCTTGAAATATTAAAAATATCCTTGCATTCTTGATATTTCTGGACATTTTAGGGACATATATGAAAATTTCCCTTAAAAATACAACCTGGACAATAAAATGATTTATAATATTAGCCAACTGTTTTATTGATGTTAAATATAAAATTCATGAATCTATCAAATGATAAACATTAAAATTTCATATTGTCTACCAAATTTTCAATTAAAACAAGAGCTATTTTTAAAAAGTATCAAAATCTATTAATATGAAAAAATCAAATACAAATGCTTGTAATTTTTGTTTTTTTGTTTGTTTCTTTTCTTTCTGATTTCATTGCAAGTCATTTGTACAATATAAAATGATGATTTTGATAAAACATATTTATCTTAGCACAAATTAATTTGTTGTATTTAGTTGGATAATCATAGAAAAAAATAACTATGGTCGAATAATGACGAATTTTATATTAATTAATCTAATTATGTTTATTTTTTATGCCGATACTTCTTTATATGAAAATAAATTGGATTCATGAAAACTATCATAAGAATGTTATAGTTTTGGTAACTTGTAACAATGTCGTTTTCTACCTGGAAATTTCTGTACAGGTATATTTTCTTTTCTTTAAACAATAACATTATTTAAAAATATCACAAGCAGAAAACCACAAAAACAACTAGAACATTTTTTTGCAAATCACATGCTAAAATGTGTGTATTTTGATCAGTAATTTATACATTTTACATTTATATTATATGTCCCCATTTCACTTAACACTTGTATTACATTTATCATAGTATTTTTTTTTGTTACCTTTCTTGCAAATTCTAAAAAATATTTTGGAAGAGAACTAAAGCTGTGCCATTCATTTTCCTACAGTAGACTCCACTCTCAAAAAAAGGAATTTAAAAACAATTGTGGGTAAAACCCACAAAGGCTTTTCCATCAAGCCACATGATCATTGAAGTGATTGGTTGAATGGATGGATTGATTAAATTGATTGATTGTGTACATCATCAGACCTTGACATGCAAGCCAAACACACACAAATATGGTACCTCTATTTTTTTGGCTATGAGAACTTTGAAATGCTTGGAGAAGTAATAAATAAATAAATAAATGCTTGGAGAAGAAAGCTCAGATATAATTGAGGAAGAAGATGAAAAGAGAATGGGAGAAATGGTGTTAAAACTGATTCATATAATCCATACTTGTTCAAAATTTTGCCAAATAATAAATGAGACGATCATTGACATACTTCATATTCAACAAAACTTCACTCTGTTACAAAAACCAAGGCTATTGGCACCCCCTACAGTAGCATAGAACACACACACACACACACTCTATATATATATATATATATATAGCAATATAACACTAAATATAAAAATAATAAAGATGCTAAATTTAGTAACTATCATTAGTTAATATTGTTGAGTTTTTTTTTGCAAGATTTTATTGGATTCTTTTAATGAATCTTCATGACATAATTGCAATGCTTTTATTTTTTTATTTTTATTACATGATTTATTCTTATTTTCTAAAGAAATCATGTTTATGTTTATATTATTTATTATGATTGAAGTATTTATTCATATGATTAACAATAGTTGAAACAGATTTGGTGAAAATTCCACTACAAAGTAACTTGAAACTCCTCACTTATCAAGTTAGCATGTATATATATATATATATATATATATATGTATATGTGTGTGTGTGTGTGTAATGCAAAATTTCAAATAAAAAATCTAAGTTTATTGTGGAAATTGTTAAAGATGCAGTAATAAAGATGTAGGTAACAGTTTAATGCTAAATTAATAGAAAGAATATCACAATTAACCATCAATATTGTTCAAAATCATGGAGGGTTTTACTTTATTCAGTTGCTATAGCTTCTCTAAAGAGCTTGTGAGCAGCTTTTGATTTTTTATCTTTGTATGTGTTTTTTTTACAGAGCTTAATGTTAAAAAAATGTCAAACAAAATAAAAAAATATTTTACATACAAAGAAAATAAAAATAATTTTTTATTACATTAATTTTTTTGCAAATATTTAATAATATAATCATGTTTTTAAAATTATTTTTATATTTCAACAACTTAACTGTAGTTACTGTGAGATTGCTCATAAAAAGCCCTTGTCTATGTGATAGATTTTTTTATTGCTTCATGCAAGTTGTGATATTCAGTTCTCACAAAGTTTTTTTTTTTTTTTTTTTTTTTTTTTTTTCGACATGTAACATAAACAGATATAGATCTAAGATTGTGACTTAAAACTTTACAACAACATTATTTTATCATAAAAAATATTATTTTAGCAAGGGTTTTATTTCACATCAAATTTACTAAATAAATAAAAATATTATTTTGAATATATATAATTTTTATTAGTTACAATTATAACAGGTTTCTAAAATTGGTATCAAGTTAACTTTGATACCAATTACTTTACTTTTATAAAAAAGACAGATATTATAAAAATTAGCACCATTATCCAACAAAATAATTGAAGAAAAAAATACTCCGCTAGAATTTGGTAGTAATTTGTATATGTATGTATACGTGTAAAAAAAATTATACAAATCATAATTTTATATTAATAATCATGAAAAGAATAAATTTGTTTTATTCATAATCATAGCAAACCATGATATCAAATTAAAAAAATAAACACAATAGATGTATAATAATAGTAAAATAATACTACATTACTCTCTAAAACTAACCATCTTTAGTGCTACAATAATAAGTATTAAGAATTTCGTATTTGACATATTTTTAGAGAATGATGTCTTTTTGGTGCATCCAAAGAGTCATCTTTCTCTTCCCATGTCATCTATCTATAAATTCATCTAAATTTTTTACTACAATTATTAGTTAATTCTTTTCTCATACAAGTATCTCAGTAAATGGGAAAAGTAATAAAAAGTAAAAAGTAAAAAAGACTAAATATCCAAGTTTATTACCAAGAGCCACAACCCACAAGTCTTGAAGTGTATTGTATGTTATCCACTATACACGAAACAAACATAAACTCTTTTGTTTTAGTTTTATTACCATGATTCCCACCTCCTTTGCAAGAGGGATTTGTTCTTCAGAAATTGTATACCAAAGTATAATATAATATTCCATACTCACACATAAACGCACACACAGAAGCCATTCAGAACCACGGTGGTAAAGACCCCATTGGCCCACGATCATACACACGATAACTCAAGACCGTGGTCCACACCAGACAAAGAATCCCAAGACCGTGGACTGCCCGAGACAAAGGTCTCCCAAGACCGTGATTTAAACCCGACAGACGGTTTCCGGTATCGTAGTCTCCACCGGAGAGAGAGAGAGAGAAAGAGAGTTCCCAAGACCGTGCTGTCTTGCGGCGTTGCTGGACGATGGCGGAGGGAGGGAGTATGGTTTTGCGACACCTCTTCTTCTTGGCAATGGTTCCGCTGCATCGTCGCGGGGGCCTCTTCTCGTGTGCGCGCACAGGCCACCATTCCCTCGAGGATTCTCTTTCCGCTATCAGATTCGTGATCGTTTTTCGACGGACGGAAGAATCAGCTGAACTTTTCACAACACCTCCCAATGATCGTTCTGTCACCGCAATTGCGCGGTGCTTGTGAGCGTTTCATCTCATGGTTTCCTCTCCGGACTCTAGCAGGACATGCTTACATGCAGCTACGTGACTTTGTTTAAGAGCTTCTTTAAGAGTTTGTTGTGTGTCTTTGCCATCTCTGTGGAAGTGTATCGTTAGAGGTGTCCAAATTACCGGTCGCAAAGCGCTTCCAGGTATAATCTCGTCAGTGTTTGTTGTTTCTTTGAAATGGCAGAGCGTTTTGGTTCTGGAGATTGAAAGAACTGTGGACGAGCTTCGTTTGGAGGTGACTAGTTTTTCATGGCCTTTTTAGCTGTGAGCTGGGGAATCTCATGCGCGCTTTTGGCAGTTAATGTCATCATGCGTATTATCAATGCAGCTATTGCTGGTTGGGCCTTCAACAGGAACATGGACCGAGCTTCAACGGACAGCACTGACTTCGGAGGTTTGTTTCAAGAACTTGTTCTTTTTTTGAAGAGGTTGGAGATTGATTGACGTTGTCATGACATTAAACGTGGTAGTGGATTTGAGTTTGCTCTTGACGGACGCTAAAAAAGTGGATAAGGCCAGGGGGAACTATGATAGATGTCGATTTAGAGTGTTTCAAGAATTTATTCTAAAACCTCATGATTTTCCTGGTTGTTTTGAAGTACGCAGCATTAAATTTTTCCCTGGTGTTTATTTTCCACTTGATGAGAATGTTCCATACGTTCCTTCTGTAAACGAGGGCATTTGGCTTCCGGGAGCAGGGAATGTGGAGGGCAAGATGGTTGCACTGTACTTTCTTCCTATTGTGCTGGTGGCCTCAGTTGTGGGAATAGCATCGATCTGTGTAGGCATGTATCACTTGCGCGTATGGCGCACTGATAGCCTTGCAGCTGCTGTTTCTGCTGCCCTGATTGCCTGGTTGCTGAGCTTTCTCGCCGCAGGGTAAGGGTTATGTTCTAATCCTCAAGTCGGTATGCTTGTGCTTTTAAAGTTTTGAAATCCTTCAAGCCAGATTGCACAAGAAAACAATTGCGTTATCTGTATCCTAAATATTCTTTCGTGTGTTTCGGATGTGTGCAAGAAAATGTATCAGGATTCATCGATTGATCGGTTGTTTGGTTGTGGAGTAGCCTGAGTTGATGATTACCTTCTTGAAACGCAGGGTTGCTTGCAAAGAGATTTATGTTGGGGCTACGCGTTCAACAAAATTGGTTGGTCACTACTCCTATCTATCTTGTGGGCTGGTTCAATCAATTATTTGTCCAGAATAGGTTGGACTAAATCTGCAGTGTTATACCCTGTTGCTGAACGCTACTCAAGCAGTGATTGCATGAAATGCTGAGAAATCTTTGCTTTCATGCCATAGAAAGTGGTGGAGGGTTTCACCGTCATCCTGCCCCTCTTCGAATTCTACTACTTGCTGTCTCTGCAAGCTGCAGCCCTAGGTGGTAAAGAAGGCACTGCTTACACCAGCTCTTCCAAACGAGAGCCTCGTGAAAAGTTCGACACTGTTTTCGAAGATAGGAGAGATTCTGGAGTTGAAGCTGGCATGGACGTTTAGCAGGATAGTAGGATTCCTGGCACTTTTGATCACTTAGTCTGACTGGCTTTACTGAATTATATCCAAAATGCAAGAGAGAATTCAGCACATGAAACTCATTCACTCTTTGGAAACATTTTCGGTTTCTGAGAATTCATCATCCCAGTCGATGCTGTGTTCAAGTGAAGTGATTTCATCGTGAATAGAATTTTGACACCGTAGCCATGCATTCAGTAACGTTCACAAGTACATCCTGACCACGAAGTTGTAACCAGGAAAACGAGCATACGCCATTCAATGCTTGTGCATTATTGGGCTTGAGCGTTGTGCATTGTAAACAATGTGACGGGGACAGGCATCTGCAGTGAAATTGCCCAGAGTTGCTGGCTAAAGTTGTTCAGTTCAATTCCATGACGATGGTGATGAATAATTCATCTCCCAATCTTATTGAGCGATTGTATCCAAATGGATGGCTGCGCGTGGTTTTCTGTCGTGGCAATTATTCTTGTTTCTTTAAAATAGCTGTGACTAACTGGGAGTTTGTTATTACTGCGGCTGCAAATACTGTTCTGCTGGAGTCTGTAGATCAGGAAGGAGAATGGACAGGGGAGATAGAGGAAGGAGATGGTTTCTTCTTGATTCTGATAGCTACCATAGACTGTGCTTATTATTGCGGACACTTCACTATCTTTTCCAGAGCGAAACCTCCACTTCGGTACCATGGACAAAGCATGCGTTCGATTCGGCTCGCATGAAATCAACTTTATTGTGGGATTTCTGCTGCCTCTTTCATGTATTTTTCTGGTAGCTCGAGCATGTAGGCTGCCAGACTAAAGTTCAGAGGATTTTTGTTTGATCCGAAGATAAAGAATTGTTGGTGGCTGATTTGAGTTTGAGAAACTATTTAGTTGAGATTTCGGTGACTTTGCATTGTTTGTGGGACCGTTTGTTAGTTAAGGTGTGAGGTGGGGGTTAGTGATGGCTTTGCATGTTTGATTTACGGTGGAAATGGAATTGCCGTCATTGGGGATGGAGTTCATGGAGTTTGATGACAACAAGGGAATAGGAATGAGAGTGCCTTAGTATGCGCTATTGGTATTGTGGCCTAAAGCATCAATTTCGCGTCGTTCTGTGGCCCGTCGTTCTGTGGCACGGGGTAGTGCAGCGACAAGTAGGGAGAGGAGATTAATTACGAGAGTGGTGCCACTGCAGTGACGACGGATGAGAACTGGGCGGGGAGAGAGGGCAGCGTCAGTATGAAATAGTTACAGAAAGATGGGTGTCCAAACTCTCACGATGTACACTAAGCGCAGAATTTCTTAGACGCGCTCGGGAAGGTCGGCGAGCAGGTGGTGGTCGTGAAGATTTACACACTATGATGCGGTTTTTTTTCATGCAAAGACCCCTAAGGTGTGCAAACTTGAGGCTGATCACTTGGATGTCAATTCAAGTGATTTTGAGGAATAGGTAACTATGTAGTACCTTGCTTCATATTAGAACGTGGATTTTTGTTTGGCACAATGCCCATGATTAATATATATAATATGAGTTTGTATATCAAAGCCATCAATTCAGAGGGTTGGTGTCAATGATTCAGGTTTTTAGTAGATTTGGATTGGTCTCAAGTTTGATTTTGTCCACTTGAATGATAGACTAATTATAATATTTTATATTTTAGTCCTTCCTTTTAAGTGCTTAATTATTTTTTTCTAGCACTTTGCCTGAACGCTTCTTCCAACTCTCACTACGGCTACTTGATCTCTGCTCCCGTTAGCCCTAAGTTCAAAATTTTGTAGGTAGGCAAGTGTGGGCAAAGGTGAACATATAAAAATTTATTCAAATTGCTGAATATACATTCATAGATGAAAAAATGTGTTGAAGAAAACCCGTCAGATATGCCGTCCAAAAAAGTTGAGTATCTATTTCTTTGCGGTCCAATTCATGAGAGTAAATTTCAATAATTTCAAAGGAGTGTGGAAAAGTTTCAACATTATGAATTTGCTTTCTTTTTACCTTTGACATAGTAGAGAGGATAGATAAAATAACTTTTTTGCACTCTTTTCAATATTTCTAAAATTTAGAGATACAATTATATATCATAAAATAGCTAGGTGCATCATTTGTTGTAGAAATATAAAAATTGCCATTTAAATTGGCATTGTGTTGATGTTGGAAGTGAATTTGGTTTATCTTAGAATGTTTAAAATTTTAATGAGCTTTTAAAAGATTAAAAAAAAAGGTTTTGCACTTATAAAACACAAGTTTGGCAACAAAAAAGATGGAATTTTGATTATATTTATAAAATCATCCAAATTCGTTTGAGTACTTAGATTGAGTTCAAATTTTAGATGAACATCTTTTAAAAGTTTAAATACTTCTATGCTAAATGAAAAATAATGATGTTTAAAATCATGTAGCAAAAAAATGAAGTGGAAAAATATATCCAATTTTTACTTTAATATAATTTTTTTAAAGCTTTCAACTTTGAAACAAGTTGGTGATTTGGTTTTTTAATTTCATTTTTATTTATTATTATTATTATTATTATTATTATTATTTAATATCTTAAATATATAGTCTAAATATTTATTATCTACTTAACAATTTTCTTTAATAAAAAAATATAATTAAGATATTTAAACAAATCTCTTTATATTTGTAAAAATCTATTTATGACTTATTTAATAATAGAAAAATAAATATATGATAATTAATTAGTAATGTATCTAAAAGCATCTAACAAATTATATAGGTCTATAAGACAAAATGATTGGATGGACATCTTCAACTCAACCCAAGCTTGCACACATTTAAATGCTTCTCTTCATGCTCCACTTAATTAAATATATGCTCCATAATTTGGTGCATTTAGATTTTAGATAGAGTTTATCACAAGCATTGTCTTTGTTTTTTCTTTAAAAGATTTGGTGAACTTGTTGTGATGATTGTTTTAACACATTATACATTGTTTGGCTCATACATGATTTATTAAAAAAAATCAAAATTATCTTTTGTTTAAAGTTATGGAGGCTTTTTGTAGGTATATACATTAAAATCTTTAAATAATGAGCATAGAAAAAAAAGGTGTTTTATTAAAGCATTATTGATTGTCCACAATGAAAAAGGTGTTCTGCTCTATTAAAATATGACTCTAAGTTAAATACTTTTGATACCAATAAAAAGATTGAAGACAACACTACTGTTAGATTAGGCAATAAAAATCCATTTTACTTGATTTAGCATGGAGTGTTTTCTAATGATATAAATTGTAAGACATAATATAAAGAAGTCTCATGAATAATGTTATAAGTATTTAGAAGCAAGAATAATAGATGAATGCAGAGTATTGTATTAGTTTTTTATACAATGACATATACATCAATTTAGTGGTTACAAGAACCAAAATCTTTATAGACAAAGCAAGTACTAACAAACATATTTAACCACAACAATTTACATTTATACTTTTTTAAAATATTTTTCTCAACAATCAAAAAACAATAAAGATGCTAAAGAAGGGTGTTCAAAGGCTAATAGATTTAGGCCATAAAGAAACAATGTAATTTGAAGAAGGCAACAAAAATCCACAACTAATCCCAAAAACAAAATCACCAAAACAAATTAGAAAAAGAAAATTAATCATCAATTTATATTAGATTTGTTTGAATTTGTTCGAATGATAGAATTATCTAATTAATACACACTAAGAAAACAAATTAAAGTTGTAATATGCAAGAAATTAATTCTAAATTATCAAAAAATACATTTTTTTTAAGCTAGCATCCTATAACATGCTACATTGAAACAAAACAATCAAAGTTAAGAGAAGGCAAATTAACCAATGGATAATCTAAGTTAGGCATTTCTAATAGGAGGGACAACCCAAATCAAATGGCCACTTAAATGAGCACAAAATAATACAAATACAAACCTATCCAATTTGAAAACAACTATATCAAACTACAATTCAAATAATTCAATAAAACTTGTCAATATAAAAGAGTGATACTTGAAGATGAATACAAATAAAAGAGCACTCCTTTTGTAACATAGAAAAACATTTGAAAACATATTTTTAAAAAGGGGGCTGAAATGTTAACAAAGTTGCTAACAAAAATGTTTTGTGTCTATCGTGACATAGGCGTGTCTAAAACGAATTAGCTTACTCTAGAAAAGGCACCCAGCAGATGTGCAACAAGGTCTTGAAGAAACCTTCGCAAGTCAACAAGAGATTAGTGTTCTGCATGGCTAACACCTCTGCGAAGTGAAGATGAATATTGACTCGGGCCTGAAGTGCCGAATTTCATGATAAGAAGATCATCGAATTCAAGAGAAACCAAGAGTGTAAAATTCTAGATGTAATTTCACAGTAAGGACAATCCCGAATCCTACCAAAATAAGAAATGCTTGGAACCCGGTGTGCTCAGAGGAACGGCACAGAATTTCATTTCAACGTTAACCAACTCCCTCTTTCAAAGTGTGAACTTAATCATCATTCCAGAAATCCTCGATTTCTGTATGAGGCACAGAAGAAGAAACCAGAACGGGTACCCTGACTTCAAATAAGAAGCCTTTCACGTGTATACTCTAGCATTTTGACTCTTCAGTGTTGGAGCATAGTTCGTTTGCCAAAGAGTTCAGCAATTGGCTCACAGTCTTCACACCCAGAAGGACAGCATCCCTGTGCAAATTTGACAACTGACTGCCAAATAACTGGATGAATTTGTCAGGGTGCCTGCCGACAATGACAATGCTCAAAATTTAAAACAGCCCATTCATTTGACATTTATGAAGTTTTAGACAAGAAAATGTCTGTGGAAGGAGACGAAGATATGAACATGTACACTATCTGCACGCAGGCTTTTGACCGCATTACAAGACACATACACTCAAAAATAGAAGTAAAAGACTGACCACCGGAGACGCTCTTGTTGGATAAGACTGTGGAGGTCATTGCCAGATATGTGAAGAAGACTCAGCAGAAGCTCTTCTCCAACTGTTCAAATAACCACATGGTAATGTGATCACGATCAGCAACTTACAAGTCTAATTTCAAGAACTTAATATTCCAGAACTGAACATGTAAAAAGCGTGGTGTGGAATTTGTTTACAATTAATTACTGTTGAATAGAACTCAAGAATGTAGAAAGGACGTTCAGATATAAAATAGAACACACCTAAAGACCAGGGCTGGTTTAGTTAAACAGCAAACTGTACCTTCGCTTCCTTTCCTGCTCATCAATGGCCACGGAACATCCTGAAAATTGATTTCTTGTTTTCCATCATCACCAACTGATGATGATATACCAGATTCTTTTTTCCCATATTTCCGTACAAATTCACTCCATGCGCTTTGGTACGCTTCCCATTTCTGAAGGATTTCTGTTTCTGAAGTATTTTGCCCGTGTTCACCTACATTGACTTGTCGTTCAAAGTCACTTTCACTAACCAGAAGTTTCAAACGAGAATGATTGCGGAGAGCTTGCATCTCTGCCAATCTTTGTTCTTTCTCAATCTTGCCCACAAGATTCCTGAGTCCTGAACAAATCATCATTCAGTACGAAGTCAATCCTACCAATTGTTACAAACTTCATAAATCGATGAGCAGAGCTAATTTCAAGGATGGCACTGCTGTCGACACCAACGATCCAGAAAACGTCACTGGGCATAATATAAATGAATAATACACTCACCGAGGGATACAGGAGTTTGACCATACTCATTGACAGCATAAACATCAGGCTTGTAAAGTTGTAAGAGAGCTGCTATTTCAGCATGTTGCCCTAAGATTTAACACATTCATGGATATGAAAGTGAGTTGCGCATTTGAAAACAAATATCTCATTAACTACAGACATTTTTCAACAACTATGCTGGACAGATAAAAGTAAATAAAATAAAACAAAACAAAACAAAACAAAACAAACACAGAAAAACAAAGAAAAAAAACAGATTAAAAAATTAAAAAGAAACTGTGAACCTAGATGAACAATCTCGATTTTCATTTTTATCATTATTTTTTCGTTAATAACAAAAATATAGTTTGCCTTCATTCTTAAAAGTCGACAATATCCAGTTTGCAGAATTTACTTGCACATACTCACTTACCTGTACATGCAAAATGAAGAGGTGTATTCCCAGAATTAGTCTTTCTATTTATGCGCTTCCCATCACCCGCCCCTGCACACAAAAGTGCCCTCACCACCTAGCTTCTTCTCAAGCTCACTTCACTTTTGACTCAATGAAGCTTCCAAACAAAACGAAATAAAGTTCTGAAACCATGCCCAAAAGACCATTACTCTTCCAACATTGAAATCATCTTAGTCATGTGCGAGTGATTCAAATTTCAGAAGCAGAAAAGATCATGGCCTTCAAACTATCTAACTCTCCAGCTTTAGTATGTGTTAAATCACAATCGTGAATGTGTACAGCATGAGATCAGTAGGCAAGTGTAAATGGTCCTTGTCGACTCAAAGAAAAGTAAAGAACGTAATTACAATGTCCTCATTTCATTACATCAAATAACTCCAAACTGCAGAGCAAAAAGTTAGGAGAACGTACATCAATATGACCGTACAGCGACGCCCAGTGAAGTGCAGAATATCCTGAATCATCTTTGCACGAAACGTAAACGCCCAACTTTAATAATTTAGAAATCTGTTCAACGTCTCCCAAGCGTGCAGCGTAAAGAAGTAATTTTTCTTCTTCATCCTGGTCGACAAATAGTAGATGTCATGATCATTGTTAAGCTCCCATTGTTTCAATTAAACTACTTATTGAATATAATAGTAAATAATTAACAGCGTATTTGAAAAAAAACAAATTGTATATAGTGAGGACAAAAAACACAAACTGAAAACACCAAATAACGCATGACTAGTTTGCAACAGACTGTTGCCGAAATGTTTGGATTGCGAATGCCTCATCAGCCTACAGAAAAAAACTGAAATGAACGAGAGCATGAAACGAACTGTTCGACGGATTGTTTGTGTACATTGTCCCGTTTTTCTTCACGTCTTCGCCTCTTCAACTTTCTCCAGTCTCTCCTGTCCTCCTTCAACCGTTTCTTTTCCTCTTTGGCTGTTAGCCCAGCTGCATGCAAGGTCAGTTAATAAACTAACCGTTGTCTTTTCACTTTGCACCTCAAGAAGTGAACTACACCCCTGAAGGCACAGGTACAAGTTTACAGATTCGAGGGCAGCATGAAATTAAATTCGTTCAAATTGAGTGAATTGTGGAATAATTCTAACGGGATTCCTGATAAATAATACGGGAATATAGCCAATTTGAACAATCAGATTCGATCAAAATCACACGAGAAACCTAGCGATGCAACTCTCTCAGTTAGTATTAAAAAAAACATGTACACAAGGATTCCGGCATACTCCGACAAAAGCTTCCAAATGAGTAGTTCACACGCAGAATCAAGGAAAGAACAATTCTAGGACCTCGATAGCATAACTTGAAAAAAATAAAATCAAACATCATACAACCAAATCTCCAAGCAAGCAATATACCGTCTCCATCAGCATTCGGAATGGCCGAGCGCCGTAAGAAGCTCCAAGCCTTCAATAACCTTTGACTCCTCTCCTGCGCAGTGCCGTGAGGGTTCTCAAGCGCCGCACGCATCAACTGCAGCGCTTCGGCTTCCTGCAACGCCATTAACAATTATCTCCTTCCTCCCCCAAACTTTTTTCTACTTGTCATCCGACCTCACCTCGTGTGTCTTCGATCAAACCAAGCACCACAAAATCACAGGATATTAATAGCTCATTTTCTCTAATTCAGCAAAAGGACTGCACCGGTTTCAAGACGGACAATCTATTGCAAGCGCAGCGGTGCTCAACCCGCTGCATCGCCATGCAAGCAAAGGAACACAGCACTTCAAGCCTAAGATTTTTTAATAATGAACCATTAGCGAAAGCACCGTAGCAATCCTAATTCGATTTAAGCAGAACTCACCTACGGGTCCTTCACCACTTGCCATATACGATACAAAATTGAGGAACAAAAAATGCGGCAAAAAAAGTATTGAAAGGGTGCGATGGCTATGGCCATGGCCACAGGGACTAACTTCGGCGAGGCCATGGGTACCGCCTCTGTTTCGCTTCAGTGACAGCGTTGCCGTTGAACGATGGATGATATACCATTCATCCGTTACTTCATCCAACTTGTCACAAACTTGATTGCGTGTGTTCACACCGCAGCATTATTCCATGTTTGGATGTTCCTTCCTACCAATTAATGTTCTTAATTAGGGCTTACACCTCCAATCGTTGGACTTCACGCTACTCCAATGCGAGAGGGTCCTATCACTCAAAACAATGTGGTATTCCCACGTGGGTAATATTGGTGTTGTTTACAAAGGTTGGGATATTTAAACAAAAAAATTATTTTGCTTCATTGGTTGGATATGAAGATGGATGTGAGTTTCTTACAATGTTGAAATGTTTGTAGAAATCACATCAAGTATTGCTTGATTAGTTTTTGGAAAGAAAAATAATAAAAAGAAGACAAATGAAGAATTATTTTCATTGCTTGAGTTCTTTTTAATTTTTGTGTATTTGTGAATGAGGTGCATAAAAAAAAATGACACATTGTTGACAAAATGATCATGTGAGTTGGGTGCACTTTGCAAGTTTTGAAAGATATTTTTGAATATTGTCATGGTCATGATGCATTACAAAGTACCTCTCAATTTTCATTAGGATTAGATTTATTGAATAAACTTAATAGAAGGAAATGGATTTTGTACAAGGTATGGAATTAAAGTTGGGCTCCTTAGACATTTAACCCAGCATAACTTCTATTTATAACAGAGTTATAACAAAAAAATAACCTTGAATCAAACACAGTCATTTATTTATATTAGATAAGTATTTTTCTAATCCATTTTTTGTTAATTATAATGAAGATAAATATTGAAATTTTGAGAGTCAAAAGCTTCTGCATCTAAATATTCAAACAATATTCTATTGTATCTCTCTATATAGAATGAGCAAGAAAGTACTCAACCATCTCAAACTTTCACCTCATTAAAAACCATTAGACAACAACCTACTTGTAGTGCCCAAGCATCATTGCATAGAATTGCAGTAGATAAAAACAAAACAACACACACACACACATACATATATATATAACGAATTCTTTAATATTTACTGACACTCATACTTCTAAAATAGAATGAAGAGGAAAAAGAAAAAATTATTTATATGATACCAAAGAATAAAGTCAATTTTGTTACAAAAACATGTAATAGATAAAAAAAAAATTAAAAATTAAAATTGTCTAAAACATCCGTGTATAGAATTAATTTTAAAAAATGGGTAATAATATACGTTGAAAATATGAAGACCATTATTTTATACTTATTTTTAGTTGATTTATATATTACAACATAAGTTCTAAAATATAATATTTGGTTATATAAAAAAATTGAAAACTTGCCGATTTTATATTTAAAATATTTTGATTTAGGAATGAAAAAATATTAATATTATTTATTTGTATTACAATAAAATATTTTTTTTTAAAGAACATATTAAAAAATTGTTTTGAAACAAATTTAGCATGTAAATATTTATCTTCTTTAAATATGGATAATACGAGGCAAAAGTATAGCACTGAATAATGTACAAAACGTATATTTCAAACAATAAATTCTAATCTATTATATAAAAAATATGAACTAAAAAATTTACAAATTTATTCTATGTACATAATTCATAAATATTGTATTAAATAATTAAAAAAATAAATATATTCAAAACATAAAATATTATATAACTAAAAAAATAAAGGAATATGTATGTATGTATGTATGTATGTATGTATATAAGTAGAGTAAATCCCAGATTCAATATTTAAACACTATCATCATGTTATTAAACACTATTGTTTGAATTAAATTTTTAGAAATCAATATTTTTACTTGAAGGATTTATCATAATATAATGTATAATTTGAAACAAGATTCTAAGTAAAAAGTCTTTAATTGCCATGGCTGTATAAATCACTTACATACCTTTGTGTTCTATTGTAATAATCTTATATATGTACACGATAAGGAAGCTTAGGTGTAAGACAAAGACATCTTCAACAGATTACTATTTGTAGAGCAGATCATTTTACAGCTTTTGTGTGCCCAATAACACAGATTTTTGTTGGTATGTAATATGTAGAATATAATGTCCTTGTATTTATATGTCTATGGTAAAATTTAGATTATAATTTTATTTATAGATTATATTATTATTAAAATAAAAATAAAAATAAATTAAAACCTTTGTCATTTTAATATTATATTCTACCTTTGTTCTAATGGGTTCTAATTGGTTTTTGAAATGCACATTGTGTGGTTGTATATCTTGAGGATTCTAAAAGCAAGCATTACAAGTAACAAAATAATAATAATAATAATAATAATAAATGATAATGACATATTTGTTATTTATTAAACAAGTGTATTGGAGCATAAGTTTTGTAATTTGTAACAAAATTAAGTAGTGAAGCTAGTACTATAACAAATAATCCTTGAGGTTAAACTAAATTTTTTTTGTACATTATGACATCAAAAATAATTTATGTAATTTTTATTTGTATTTTCTTTTTATAGTATCTTATCAAGATAATTACGACCTAACTCTGTTGGTTGATGAAGTTGACAACTCACGAATAGTTGACATTTTAGATTTGGAAATTGATTACCATGTGGACAATGATCTTTAGTTCATACTTCTTTAGTTTGAAGCATTTATAACTTTTCAAATAAATACTTGTTATTACATCTGGATTTGATTATAAATTTAATGTAATATTGAGTTCATTTTTTTCATTTAAAATATAAAAAAATTACGTACACACACACACACACACATATATATATATATATATACATGTGTGTGTATGTGTGTGTTTATGTACATATATGAACATGTTTTTTTTTTTAATTAAAAAAATCCACAAAATATGTATATATATTATAAAATATAAAATATATATTAAACTATTTACTAATTTATAAAATATTTATATTGATATTTATTTATTATATTACTATCTATAAACTATTTATTTTTAATAGGTCAAATTCGGTATTAAAATTCAATATACCAAATATAAATATAGTACTTTGTAATCCCAATCTATTCTTCTTTGCTTATAGTATATTCACAAATAATCTTGTTGATAAAAAATATTAATCTTTTCTGTTGCATTTGTTCCTATGTGCATTCACTAATATCATATGTGCACCAATGGACAAGATATTTCAACCTATTTTGGCATAGTCTTGAATCTATGACCTCTTTCATGTAAAATTCTTGATTGTTGTCCACTTTTATAAGAAGAGATGTCATTTGTATTCTTCCCAATGTATTCACTATCTCATATAGCTAAAGAAGAGATATATAGAATATAAGATGGATCTTCATAGATTTAGGTAGGTATAATTGATATTCAATTAGATTAATCTATTTATGAATAAAAAATGATCCAAGCCTACAATAATCAAACTTGTCACAAGAGCAAATAATCTTTATATTACAACAAAGTAACTAGACCTTGTTGCCAATGTAGAATTAAGGTTGTTATTAGCAATAGGCATCTCTATTGATTTTTTGTTGTTCTTGAGCTTCTATTAATCGAGCCTTCATTGTCATATGTAGCTTTAATAAACAATTTTCCACCAAATTTTGTGAATAACCATGCAATTAATTACTACATTGATTCTCAACACATTTGAAACATTTCTTGAGAATTTTCACTTTCAAAAAGTTAATTTAAGCATTTAATTCTAAAACAGAAATAAATCAACTTGAACCTTGGATGCTTAATATTTAGTTTTTTTTAACTCAACTTAATATTTAATTTTAAAATATATATAATGCTATAACACTCTAAAATCATAATAAAAGTAAACTAAATAAAATAAAAATAAAATAAACCCAAGTTATAAATTTCTAAATTCATCTAGATTTATAAAACACTATGACCCTACTCACTCTTTAAAATTCCCATTGCAGCTCCAAAATGCATCATTTGTTATCATTACCATTAATATTTTAGTTTCAAGAAACCATGTCGAATGTGTGTGTGAAATGATTCCAATGGATTTGAATCAATAGTTGGCTACCCATGCTCCCAAGCTACCCCCCACCCCAGGGTTGAATGAGATTCTGGCAACCTTAAGAGTCTACTAATTTGAAGGATATAGCAATTTGACAAGAGACTGAGAAATTTATGACGATTGGTCCATGAATTGACAATCAAACGAGTTTGTTATCACTAGTTGTGGCTACACCCAGTCAGCTGGTCTACACTAGTCCACCTTGTTCCACACTGAGTTCAACGCAAGATCAACACTAGAATATCCCTCATTTACAGTTAAAAGGCGTTTGTGTGTGCAGGGGGCCTTGTTCACATCTAAAAGACAACAGAAAAGGCCTCATGTATCCAACAATTGCATGCTTCCCAGGAGTAACTTGATCCCTGGTACAGTCTTTCTCTCTGTTGTGTGATATTGATCCAGAAGACTGCTTTCAGTTCTGTCAAAAAAAATAGTTTCTGTTTATCCCTCTTAACTAATCGTTTCAGCTTAGGTTTACTGGATGTTCCCTCCGGAATCTTCCTCCATAATGAGGTGTATATTTAGATGCCTACTCTCACAATTCCATGACCCTCATTCAAGAGATTGTTCTTCACACAGTTCTTTGGCAGCCTTCATTATTGTGGTCAAATATACTTAGGAATAGAAGATTTTGCACAAACCAGTATCTGAAAAGAATTATGAGTGGAATCCAACTGAGATTACCTCCTATTATTTACCTTTTCTTTTCTTTTCTTTTATTCCTATTTATTGAGAATTGTTAAATTTAGTCAGGCATTTATAAAATCAACCCACCCATCTTAAGCATCATCAAAAAATTCTCCACGGCTGGATCTGCATTGGTTGAAAACCAATCAAAAAAATGATTGGATCCGCAACCAATGATGAAGGGTGGATTGATTTAATAAATGCCTGGGTCAATTTAACAATTCTATTTTTTATTTTATTTATTGAAGCAGAAGGGTGTAAAGTGCTAGGAACAAGAGATCACAGTTTCTGATATGCTATAGAGTATGAGATTGGGAACAGGAACAAGGTGGAGGACTTAACACAGCTCTGCAGCCAACAGAGTTCAAAGTATTTGGTACCCTATTTATAGCTGAAATTGTGGTTGATTGTCTACATGCTATTTAATTTGTTTGCGCCATTGATTTTGTCTACAGAAGAAACCTGCAACCCAACTTGCCACATTCAAGGGAATTTTACTTGATGGTGATGACTTTGACCTTGGATAACTTTACAAATTGGAAATTTAAGTTCATTCTTTGTACCCAAGAGTTAAAATGCAAATATGTATCAAATGTTGTCATATTTTGTACTGTAAAGATTCATCAGTAGAATCTCACTCAAAACAGTCTGTTCAAAATCTGTGTGGCCATTGGCAGTGTCAATTTGTGGAAGAGAGATGTACACTGGTCCCATGTCCATCTTGTTGTAAAACAACACCAATATACATACAGAATTCACTTGTCTAGTTGAGGAAAATAGAGGCAGCAGTTGCCAGTAACTTACGCTAAGTTATTCTTACACACGTGTTGACTGCCACTCCTTAATGTGAAAGTAACCCCACAAATCTAAATCAATGCAACTTTGGGTTTTCTTCATAAAATCCTTTTCCATTAACCTGGAATAAAATAAGTAAAATACACCCCCACATTTTTGGACCACTAAGAGCCACATAAAACTTAATTTCATAATTTTTTTTCTTAAAACAAGCATGTATTACCAGTCAACTGCTACTTTATAGCTAGTGCTCTAGTTTCGCCCACAACGAACCTGTGCTTGCAACATAAATGGGTCATTTCGTTGCAGTTTTGATGATGAATCTAGTAACTAGATACAGGAATTGTATTTCCAGAATCAATCCTGGATTACAACTAACAAACAAATACTAGAACAAAAATTGTTAATATTATTTTTTAACAGAAAAACTGCAATAACATAAAAAGGTATGCAAAAACAAGGAACAGAAGGGAGGGCGGTTTTGACCTTGAAGGTACACATGCGGAGGGGAGGTGGCGTCAGTCAGAGCTGGTCCAAACAGAAGGCAAGAGACACCACCGGAGGTGCAGGATTAAAGCAGCGGCACCCAGCCTGCAGTTGCACACGCAACAGCAACAGCAACAGCAAAATTCATCATAATATTAAGTACCCAGTCCGGGCGATTCCTCCCAATTCATGCGCTGCACCCAATCACTGCCACTCACTGCTTTCCCTTTCGCATTGAAGGCGTCGATACTACTCTCTCGTCACAAGTCTCGGAGCTTTAACTGGCCTTCCCTCATCGATTGCTGCTGTGTCAAGCTCACTGGTGTAGCTGCTGCCGCTGCGCTGTGTCGTGCCCCGTTTCTCACCGAAGTGGTTGCACTCTGGCATTTACTGGTCTGTTGGTGCTGGCATTGTGGGTCAGGATTGCGATAAGCTGGTTGTGGAGTGGCGATGTTTGGGTACATGGTGAATTTGTAGGGAGGGGGGATGTGAAGGGCCGCTGAGTAGCTGAAATCATTGGAGTTGTCTGTTGATCATTTCGTGAATTTGTTGTCAGGGATTGGATTGCGTTTGCATTATACTGACGTGCATTGCGTCTGGTAGTTTCTGCGGGGTTCGTGTTCATGAGGAATATTGGCGCTTGTTTAGCGGAGCTCGTTGTGAAGGTCGGTGACAGATTAAGGGCGTCGTTGGTGGTGAGACTCGTGGATTTCCGCACTGGTAGAGTAGGCGAATTCTTGATGAAGGGCGAGACCGAGAATGTCATGCGGTTCTGCTCACTTGTGTACACCTTTTCGGCCTGTAGGGAATTGCACTGTTCGGCAGAGATTATGAAGCTTTAGCAGCCGTCGAGAAGAAGTTGTTGGAAGTGTCTCCAACTCTTGAACACTTTTCTAGCGTGAGACACGATACACGGCTGGTTTTTATTATTGCCTTCGTTTGATCAGCAACAAAATATAAGCAATGGCGTCCAGGGGGCTCCTGGAATCGCCAATGCGCATCGCCGCAGCATCCTCATCTTCGTTCGCCGGAAGGCTGAAGCTTGAAGAGGGCAGCCAGCCATTAAACTTGAAATCAACTGTGCGAAGGCGGAAGTCGCTAAAGATGAGCATGACCGCTTCTCTTCCTAGGTGAGCTCTCTGCCTATTTCTAGGTCCCACTTAGTGCACACATTGGGGTCAGGAATTTTTGCCCTGGATTAAGCAGCCATGGCTGGTGGTCTAATTCCTATTTGCGTCCGACATGTGAACATCATGTGGAATGACATGGATTTTTTTTTTCTGTTATTAGAGAAAAGCAAGAAGCTCATGTGAATACCATCCTTAGGGATGATGCGGCGTCATACCGGCTGCGGACACGACAAGTTGAGCACATCCCAGTGGAAAATCTGGAGGTGATCGCGGCGATGGATTCCTGGGCGCAGGAGAACCTTCTCCCTCTCTTGAAACCCGTCGCAAAGTCATGGCAACCGCAGGACTTTCTCCCGGACAGCTCCTCCGAGAGCTTCCTGGAGGAAGTGCGGGAACTTCGAGAGCGAGCGAAGGAGCTCCCCGACGATTACCTGGTCTGTCTGGTAGGCGATATGATCACCGAAGAAGCGCTGCCGACATACCAAACGATGTTCAACACATTCGAGGGCGTGCGAGACCAAACGGGGTGCAGTAATACTCCGTGGGGGTTGTGGATCCGCGCATGGACAGCGGAAGAGAATCGCCACGGCGATCTCTTAAATCGCTATCTCTACCTCTGCGGCCGAGTGGACATGCGCATGGTGGAGAGCACCACCCAGTACTTGATCGGGTCCGGCATGGAGCCCCAAATTGACCAAAACCCCTACAACGGATTCGTCTACACGTCTTTCCAAGAGCGCGCGACCTTTATATCCCACGGCAACACTGCCCGCCACGCCAAGCAATTGGGCGAGCACAAGCTGGCCTCCATCTGCGGCACCATCGCCGCAGACGAGAAGCGGCACGAGATTGCCTACAGCCGCATCATGAGCAAGATCTTCGAGCTCGACCCGAACGGCGCCATGCTCTCCTTCCAGGACATGATGAAGAAAAAAATCACCATGCCTGCGCACCTCATGTATGATGGGGCGAATCGCAGCCTCTTCGACGACTACGCATCAGTCGCCCAGCGTTGCGGCGTCTACACAGCCCTGGACTACGCCTCCATTATGAACCATTTAATTAAGGTCTGGAATGTCGAATCCTTGACAGACCTGTCCAGCGAAGCCCAGCAGGCGCAAGAATTTGTGTGCCAGCTGCCCGCGCGCATCCACAGGCTGGCGGAGCGATCCCAGAGCCGGGCGAAGAGGGACAGTCCTCGTCGAAAGCCCTTCAGCTGGATTCACCGCAGAGAGGTTGATTTACTGTAACCAGGCCCAACTTGGGCTTTTACCTCGGCAGCTTCATCACATGCTTCAAAAACTGGATTCAACTAGGCTCTTATCTTTGCAGAATTGCTACATCTGAAGCGAAACATACTTGAGGCTGTGTACATAATATCTGTGCTTGTGGCTCGCTTTACATGACGAGGTGGAATTTTATCTGAACAGTATGGTTTCGGAAGGAATGGTGTGATCTAGAAATCATCAACTATACTATAGAGCACAACGTTTTCGAAGAGGTCCAGAGTGGATTTCTTTGCATTGATGCCTATGCTAGTTGGGATGACATCTCATATATATTATGTCATTTTCATACTCTAGATACCAATCAAATTGTTGTGAGCATGGGTGATGTGTCAAGTGAGTCCTCAGCCTTTAAGTTGGTTGAATGAGTGAGTGGATGTGGAGGCCTGGGCCCTGCAAACGAATAAATTGAATATCCAATTGATGGTTTCTCTGACCTAATAAAATCTGATTCGTGTGTGGGGTTATTCACTCTACAAATTTAAAAGTAAGACGGCTTTTGTCTTCTGTTGTCTTCTGCTCATGTTTTTGAGAGCTATTAGGCTAGTGCTGACTGTGCTTGGGGAAGCCACAGATTTAAGTAACTCTCATTGTATCAACATGCTAACTTTTGAGGTATTGTTTGTGCATGGTCGGAGTTACCCAAAATTGCTACTGGTAGCATGCACTGTCCATCATGATGCAGAAACTATCAGAAAATGGAATGGTTCTCTATAGAAATTAGTTTTCAGCATACACGAAGAAAGAGGGAATCTGTCCATGACCACAAGCTGTCCAGATTTCAGACTTAATCAATCTCATTCTCCCTTCGACAACGACTTGCTGCCATGACGAAGCTATCCACATTGTAACTAAACAGTGGTCTGGAGATATTTCCAAAATGCCCTAACTTAATGTGGACCCACGATGTGTTTTGCGAGGTGTAATGGTTGTAAAGATACCCCAGAGCGACCAATTCTGCATCCCATTGTCTTTATTTCAAACTAAGTTAATTTTGTGCAACCACAAGAATGGGCTTCAAGTTCACCAGATCTCAGGGGTGTCATGGAACTGGGTTGGGTTCTGTGAAGTCGAAAGAGATGAATACTTCCAGTTTTGTGATGGCCTACTGGAATATTGACATTATACCGACAATGTTTAATAATGTTATCGCATTCTGGATTTATTCTGTAAGTTTTGCTCAATGGCATTTGATGAATATATCTTAATACTTGAAAAGAGCTCCGCATAAAATTGCATCAGCGATCTTGAGCACTTAAACTCCCTGCTTAACGATGAAGTTGGTGTTTTATTGTTAACGGGGAAAAAGAAAACTTGAGTCACCCTCTACTTCATGGGAGATTCCTAAGCATGCTCTTCAGGATACATTACCAGACAAATAACCTTACCTCTCAGATCCCATGAATAGAATCAGTCAGTGGTACCATGTTGATTCCACAGCTAGAGTCTCAAAATAAATTACGAATTTCATCAGAAAAATTAACCAGAAGGCTGTGCACCTCTTTTGTAAAGCAAAGCATTACTCATCCGACCCGATCTTGTCCAAAATCCATATAACTTCCAACTTCGAGCAATGCATTAGTGAAAGAAGTATCACCTGTGTTGTATTTATCTACCAAACACACAATCTCAAAGTTTCACGATAATATAATTGCACATTCCGTTGTGCAACTTTCCCTCGGCTTTTAGCGTTGCCGATCTTGAGCCATTGGCGTTCTCTAGCGCAAGATTGTTTCCCTGAGGAGCTCCAGCAATTACAGTGCAAATCTAATAGTGATTATGCAGGTGACTCTTCAATTTGTGGCTATAGTAAGTGAGGCGGAGATTTTAAGGACTATCTGGTGTCATCCCCAAGCAGTTGCATACCATTCCAAACCTGTTTGCAAAAAGGGCCCTGCCCATATGCTCCTTCCTCGAAGACTTTCCGTGAATACCAATTGAAGGTGATACTGTAAGCCTGAAATGAATGCATTACTTAAGTAAACAGTCCGCATACCATGATTTAGACCAATCACAGCTTATGTGCCAAGAGGACTCGACGAAGGAAGTCGGAGGACATAAAAAGAAGATTGATCCTGATTGTTATCCTCTATTGCAAGTGAGATAGTCATCGAAATGCATGGGATAGTCGTCAGGCAAAGGAAGGCGACACATAAGTAAATGTTGATGCAATCGAACCTAATGCAGGGTTTCTAGTGTTGACAATGAGACCTAGAACTCGATACAAGATTCTTTGGCCATTAGAGACAGAGCCAGACAAGAGATACACTTGGAACTTACCGTGATGTTGTAATGGAACGAGAATGTTGCGACTGGGGTGCTCGTGTCCCGCTTAATCCATCTATCTTTGCTTCTCCAGTGAATGCACTCTCCTGGTTTTTCTTTAACAACTCACGCCTCGACTCCACTATTCGAGGCTTGACCTTCGCCTGCACAATCGGATTGATTCCTGATGTTTTTGAATCCTCGAGCTCTCCACATGGAAGCATGAAGTCTCTGAGTGTAGTCGCGGTGTGCTTTTTCTCTTCGGGGGAATCCCACGGATTTCGATAGGAATCGGCGTGACTTCCACTTCCAGACGAAGAAGAAGAAGAAGAAGAAGAAGAGGATGCAGACGAAACAGAATCACTGCAGAAATATGTCTCTGAGGAATGATGACTCTCCTCGGAGCTTTCTCTATTGATTAATCGTAACGGCGAGAAGGACCTGAGTCTCTGCTTTCGTTCCTGCATTCCTAAGATGATCACATCCCCTTGCCCGCCCTCGACAGGTATTGGGAATCCACATAATATCAGCTTGGGTTCTGCCTTCAACGCCCGTGGCAATGGAGGTGACTGTGGAGAATGGCAGCCTTTGAAGGAACCACTAAAAGAGTCATCAGCGCGAGAAAAATCCGAGTTTCTTAGCTGCTTAACCGCCTGCAGCCGGGGTGGAAGAGCTAAGGGCTTGGATCGACCATTGATAAACTTTTCTTCAGTTGTAGACATAGAAGGTTCCGCAACCCTGTCAGTGGTACTTCTACATTCAAACTCGTCATTCGAGAAATTCCATGATGGACTCTCCGGACCACCCGAGCTGCTTGATAAATTAAGGTCCCGATTCCTGGTCTCCTCGTTACCATCGGAAAGCCCACCTGCATCAACAGAACCGGTGTCCAGGTCTCTCTTAGGTGTTCCCGGAATCGACTCCCAGACGAAGGGCACCGCAGCTCGAACTTCTCCCAATGGAGACTCCTTAAATGCTTCTTTAGAAAACGCTTTTCTCGGACTGGACGAGAAATCCGAAAGAGTACTCGGCACAGCAATCTGTGTGTCATCCTCCTCGTATCTATGATCCGCGTTCTTTCGCCTCGGCAGCAGTTGCGAAATATCCAGCCTCAACACGGCAACCCTTTCCATCTTCCTACAGGTGCAGGATTTGTGTCAAATTATGCTTCAATCTTGCTAATGATCTAGCTGTGTACTCGCTGATAATTGAAGATGGGTACTAGTGCGCAAGCGGCATTAACCAAGTATTTAGCCAAATTTAGTCAATAATGGGGCGTGAATTGCAAGAATATGGGTTACTTAGAGTTCTCTGGACGCACACAACAGCTCCAAGAATCAATGATCTTTAAGGATCCACGACACACTTCTTTCCTGAGGCCCATCAGCTGCAATCAAGGGCTCGGACCGTAATTACCTGGGGCTAAAGCGTACTCTACCGATGCATATGTAATCTACATACTTCAATTGAAATAAACCTGTTACTATGTCTACAAATATTCAGATGATATTCAGTGTGTGCGAGGACTTGCGTCGAGAAATGGTTTACCGACAAGGAATGGGAGAGTCCTTCGAAATCCTGCAAGAATTTATGCCTCCCGTGGACTAGGAAGTCCTAAATAGACCGAATTCGTGTGCATGAGAGTGGTCATTTAATCTCGACTATGACGAATTCTTGCAAGCATCACGGTGAGTCACGACGAACTCAGAGGGAATGGCGAGTGCTTAAGGCAACAAAACCGAGCGTTTCATGAAGTGGAAAACTGCAGCAGTCTTTCCAAAGAGAAATACGAGTCCGAATTAACGTCATCTCAACAGCGACAGCAAACAAAAACCAAAATCTGTGAAATAAAATGCTTCAGCGGCAAGAGTTTGCAGAAGGAAGCACGAATTAAGTAAAAGAGCTGTCAGAAGATTGACTGCGCAGACCGTTCGCTAAAGACTTCATGAGCATCAATTCCAAGTCAATCGCGTCTAGCCAAGCAAGACAGTTGTACGGCTAAGCGATGCATTAAAGTAAGACCACAATCCTCGAGGAATTTCGGAAGAAGTTGCGTGATAGCTCACAAGTAACAAAAAAAGATTCCGATGGTGAGGATCGAGCGTGGACACCAACAAGCCCATTCCAGCACGCATGGTGCACGGGTGCAGCAGAGGTGCAGTTCGAGGGGGTAGCACAGCATAAAGAAATCAAGAAAAAGTATGAAAGTTGGTAAAGAGAGAGCAGAAAAATAAATAAATAAATAATGGATGAAAGTTTGACTGGGTAATGGATCGGTGCTGGCAAATTGCGAGTTCTCGCCGTAAAAAAAGAAGTAAAAACACATCATTCGCGTCACCCACGAGATAAACTTTAGAGATGGTAGTTAGAAGGAGGGGATGAGGAGTGGGTCAGAGATTCAATGAAATCTAGATACCTCTGTCAGAACATATCCACAGGCATAAATTCTGTTCGGCTCCTGGATATACAGGGAATGATTCCAGCAAGTGCATCTTCTGGTGCACAACCAGCGACTCCGGAGAGGGGTCAGGAGCCAGAGAGCGTTACCGAAAGCTAATGAAGAAGAATATCGGCGAACACAAATTTTAATAGTTACTACGGTCAAGCCAACCTGCTACCCTTGGTTCTATGCGCGAAAAACAGGCGCCCACGTGACAATTCTTTATGGAAAAACATCGGGGCCGGCAAGACCACAGAATTATCAACACCATCCGAACATTGAATCACCTAGAAAACCAAGATGACCCAATCCATGCAGGTCGACCCAATCGAATTTTCAAGAGCAATACGAGCGAGAAAAAGGAACCAATAACAGAAGAACTCACACACGGTCTCACAGAATTCCAGATGTGAGGCCACACAGCTTCTCCTCGATCTCATGTCCTCACAACATGCGAACACTCACCACAAGAGGATCGTCACTGCCCACTCACCTCGGGTTGGGAGTTGCAAGAATCACACATGAGGGATCCAGCACCCTCTTGCAAATCAAGCAAAAATACGAAAGAGGAGCCCACGAAGCACCTCCATCACGGCGAACTCCCGAAGCACACTCACGAAACAATGAAACTGAGCACACATTCCTCCACTCCATCCCATTATACACCTCTCACCCTCCGCACACAGATTCTTGAGCACCATCAACACTGCAACATTCTTTCAGCATCCATTATGACCATCATCAGGAAATGGATCATCTCCAGATTCAGTTCTCCACTGCGGGATCCGCCACCAGTGAAAAAAGTTTGGTTAGTGATACAATCATGGCATTGAGTTGCAAACCCACTGAACATGGAACTCACTCATTAACCTAACTTGCAACAGCCATTTGTGGATATGCCATTGCCAGCTCCAGAAACTGAATCTCACATCTAATATCTATACATGAATATACTCATTCATTCCACTCTGGGTGTACCCAGTTGTCAAAACAGGGAGTTGAGTGGGTTGCACATCTGTTGGTTCATATTGATTTCGTCTTCTTCTTCTTCTTCTTCTTCTTCTTTGTGTGTGTGTGTGTGAGATTGTGTGAGAGTGAGTGAGTGAGTGAGTGAGTGAGTGAGGGAGCCATGGAGAGAGGTGGAGACAAGGCAAGGTTGGCATGAGAGGAGTGTTTGGATTGAGGGGCGGTGGTGAAGGTGGGTCATGCTTCAGTTGCCAGGGCTTGAGTGCGTGATGAGAAGGCTCCCCTTTGCTGGTGATGAAGTGTCATGACTTCCGCCCCACTCCCCATCTTGCAATGCCACCTCAGCTTTCTATCCCGCATTCCCCCTTGGACTTTACTTCCCACAGCTTTTCTTCTATTATTGTTCAATAAACAAGATATACATCATGTTATAGAGGTGTTGTTTCTATTCTCTAAGCTAAAAAATACTACTCAAAATTAATGTGACTTCTTTATCAAATCTTTATAGAAGTGATTCTAAATTGCAAACAAATCCACTATATTATATTTATATCAAGTAAATAAAATATAAGATATAACTATAAAATATAAACTATCTAAGTAAATATATAAATTTTTACTTATGTTAGTTTTTAGCCAATACTAATAAATTCAATTACATAAAATCTACATTGTTGTTGATTGTAAAGAGTTTTTTTTTAATAGCAGTTTTAAGGTTTATCTAAATGAAAAAGATTAATTACCAATTTGGTTTTTTAATAAAATAAAAAAACTAATATCAAAGTATATTTTTAATTATCTTCTTAATATTAGTGTTTCTAATGAAATATGCATATTAAATAAAATTAATATAGTTATAAATTTTTTACTCCTAATTATATTCTTGCATTAAAATCTCTGATTTTTATTTCAATTCCTCTAAAAACTATAACTAGAAATAATATCTTTATATGTTATTTCAAGTTCTTTTGAATTGTTTTTGCCAAGGTTGGCACCAGCTTCATTTCTTTGGCTCTAATTATATACTTATTTATATAATACTATCCAAATAAATATCTAATTAAAAAATATAGATGATTCATAGATTTTAATATCTTTTCTTCAACTTCCAAGTTAAACTTAGACCTTGCTTTTATTTCTTTCAATTTTAAATTATAATTATTAATAAAATAAATTCTATGATTTTATTTTATATTTTTATATTAATATTTTGCATCAAATAAGATATAAATATTTAGAATATTAATTAAATACTACGGTACTTACTTTGTTTCTTATATATATATATATATATATATATATTGGTTATGATTATTATGGATTAATTAAGATTTATTCAAAATTAATTAGAATATGAGAAGATATATCTACAATTTTTCTAAGGTTAATAGGATGTATTTAAGATAATTGGAAGTTTATTCAAGTTATTGAAGATTATCAATAAAATGCTTAAAAATACTTTGTGGATTGTTTTTGATTATAAATCTAACTTCAAAGTAAGTTCAAACTCTTCCATAGCTAGATGCCTAATAGATTTTTAAGCTAATGTTTACATAAGACAACATTTAATAGTGTTGAATAATATAAAAATTAGCCTAAGAATATACTACATGTCTAGTTATACAAATATTTAATCCTAATTTGAAGTTTTATTTATTAGTCAAAAAAACAATGCATAAGGTGTTTATAAACAATTTTTTGGTAATCTTAAATAAATTAACAAAATCTTATTATACTTTAATTAACTTCAGATAAATCTTAAATAAATCTTTAAAAAAACTGTAATTAAAATATAAAGATATAAGAAATTCTAAAGCAAGTCTAGATATATCTTAATTAAATCTTAATAAAATCCTATTGAATTTCTTATTAAATCCTAGGAAAAAATTAATTAAATTCTAATAAAATCTTTCAAGAATCTTAATCAAATACTAATAGATTTCTAATAAAATTCTACTAAAATCCCAATCAAATTTATAAGAGTAAAATTCATGTCTTAATCCAAATTATAAGATATTTATAGTAAAGAGTTACTTATTATTAATAGAGTAAAGTAAAAGAAGCAATTTACAAGTATAAATATAAAACATGTAAAAGAAATATAATCAAGTAATTATAAACTATAAAGCTAATTATAATCTATCAATTAGAATTTCATCTTACATTAATAAAAGTATTTTTTTAAATATATTGTTTTTAGATTTCTAATCATATAAAAAATATATAAATGCCAAAAATTATGAAAACATTAAGATATTTTTAATGATAGAATTCAAATAATAAAAAAATTAAGTAATTTTTTTTTTACCTTAGGAATAATTTGTTTTAAAAAACAAGGTTTTGAGCCTCACCTTTGCTTACTAGTTAATAAAGATGTCCTAGAAAAATCTTAAGGCCTTAATCTTATCTTTCTATCTACATCTAAGATGCTACAATCTATATAGAATATGTACACCTGTCACGGCCATAATCATGTAAGCTAATAATTACATATAGAAATAGGTAGAAGTAAGTAAAAGTAGATAAAAGTAAGTTAATTCTATAATATTTAATATAGAAGCTTCCTAAAAACTTCTTAGACGCTGCTTTGACTTCATAGGTATCTTTAATTGACTTTTTGGATTAGAAACGTGGTCAACAAGTTGGCCATGTGCCACACATGTTGTTAGCTTGAAGATCAAGCTAACTATGTGGCCCACACGTAGAAAAACTTGCCTTGTAAGTCAAGGCATGTGTCCTATAAAGTCAACACATATTGGAGGTCCTATAGAACGTCGCCACGTAGCCCCTAGTTAGATAGTATATATAGAGACAAGAGTGAAGGCTTCTTCACTCTTGTCAACTCCTTTCTTGCTTCTAGTCCAGGTTCAAGAGTCTTTAGTTTCTTGTCTTGTGGCAATAGCCATTCCAGTTTCCTTTTAATATACCTACTTGTTTATATTTTGACTTATTATATCGAGATAGCCTTTTTGTGTATATTTTTCCTCATCGAGTCTTTGTCCTTGACAGATTGACAAGAGTACACTTATAATATCAGAGCTTTGTTTTTCTTGAGTGAGAGTGGATTACCCCTTTCTCTTGACAAGACATAAGCATATTAGAAGTTTGCGGATTACTCACTTCTAAACTGATATTGTTCTTAGTATCTTCTTTGTTATTAAGTCTTTCTTTTCTTTTGTCTTGAGCAGTATCAAACAAATTTTTCTTCTTAGTGTCATTATGGCAGAGCTTGTTGAAATGAAGAGTGCAATGGCACAAATGCAAGAGCAAATGAGGGAGTTAATGCTTGCAATGTACCAACTCAATTCACCAACACATTAAAGAACAAGAATAGCAGAAAGTGGGGATATAGAGATGATCGAAGCTCCTTCAACATCTACAACAAATTACGTTCCTTCTCCAATTGTACAACACCCTGTAAGCACTAGAGAACCAAGAATTGCCTTACCCGAGAAATTTGATGGTACGAGATCAAAGTTTCGAGGATTCATCAATCAAGTACAATTGGCAATTGAACTTCAACCGCAAAGCTATCCAACTCCAGGATCACAAGTCAGGTTTATTGGCACTCTACTTTCTGGTTCTACATTATCGTGATTTTCATC